GTCATGGGAAAGAAAGTTGGTACACCGTTTCGAGTAAAATTAAATAAATAAGTACAAACTCAAAAGTTTTTTTTACACGAAATTCTGATTTTAGTCCACGTTTCGAGTAAAATTAAATATCTACAAATTCAAAAGTTTCCAATTTTTTCTTCACCGGGTTGGTAATTTCTTCCCGAAATTAATTATAATTGAAGCCATCTCAACTATTTAATATTCTTAAAAGATGACGACATGCCATGCATCATGACGACTTGAAGAAAATATAATTTAATCTGGGATTTTCTTACAGGATGATGATCTTTCTTTGCTGCTGGTGCTGCTGAGTAATGAGGCAGTGTGGTTGTGCATACAACAAGTTTTTTTTACCAGAGATGGATAATAATAATGAAGCTACGGAAAACAAGGTTCATCATATTTTAGTTCAATTGTTCTTGTGCACATTAAGAACATAATTGAATTTGGACCCCCCGCCCGTCTCGGTTCACAACAACCAAATTGTATGAGTTATGATCAAGTAAAGCTTAATTCGCAGAGGGATTGGATTAGGCGAATTTATTCAATTTTTCCACCCTTGGTGGTACTAATTCACAACGTTTACTAGCCACGTCCCAGATTTAGCCGTTATTTTATTACTAGGTAAAAGTGAGGGTCAGATAGGTTAATAAAATTCGTGTTTTTCTCTAAATTGTGTAAATTGAATTTCTCTTAACTGTTGTCTAAATCAAATAAGTTTGCATAATTTAACTGTTTTTATCAATTTGCTTGGTTTTTTCGCAAGATCAGGTTAGAAATTACGTACATAAAATATCAGCGAAACATTGTAGTCGTAAAAATTCGAAAAAAAATTTCCTATGCAAAAATTTTCTTAAAAACACTCCTCAATTATTCCTTAATTGGTGCACCTTATCTCAAACTACCAACAAAATTTGCATAATATAAATGAACCCGCAACATCAAACAGAATCTTCTTTATGCACATTCTTTTATCCCTTGTCTGGTAATAAACCAATTTTTGATTTGATCCGATGAACGATCAAACCACTAAATCAGACGGCGAGAAGAGATCTCCGAGATCATCAAATGAACTCATCACCACTTTTATGCTGCATTTTGATCTTCTTCTTGGTCGTCGTCGGCAAGAAGATCTAACAGCAATCAAGAAGATGCTAGACTTGATCCGCCGTGTGTGCACTGTGTAAACTTGGCTTGGTATTGATTGCACAATTAAATTCAATTTGTGGGCTACCTGTAATTACACTTAATTTCACGTGATAAATTCCTCCATCCTGGTAATAAATGAAGTGATGATGAAAAGTTGAGCCGACAACAACGTATGTAAGATAACCTCGTAAATCGTAATTAGCAACGAATTTTTTTCCAGTTTTGATTCTTTCAAGGGTTGGATTGGAACCTTTATTGCCTTTAATTTAAGCCATAAGGTGTTATTATGAGGAGGGAGTGGAGGTGTAAACAGCTCCCGCATCCAGGCCAGGCCAGGAGACGTGGTAATGAAAGAGGTGAAGATTACATAAATATTACGTATCGCTGCTGCGGATATTTATTTATGAGGGATCGATCAATCATTAAATTGTGTAATGATGAAGTATATAAGAGTGGTTGTTTGTGGTGGTGTTGGTTTTCGAGTGATCGGGTTTGATAGGGGATTTTGATAGGAAGAAAAAAATTGATCTTGGTTATTTTCGAGTGGGTTTTGTGTGTAATGGGGGTTGGATTTATGTAATGATTTAATGAACGGATTTGGTTAAAGATATTTGAAAGTTTGGGTTTAAAAACGCAGAAATTATGTCTTAAATGAAATTATTTAGGATTACATTTACATAAATATTTAATGCATGTCTCACCTGTCCTTACCTGTCTATTTTCATTGCTACCTTAATTTTTTCGTCCACAGTACAAAAATATACACCTATATATATGTATAAAACTGAAATAGATACATAAGTTGTCCGGTCAAATTTAATTTAATGAAAGATGTAAAAGGTAGACGACCAAATATGCTAATTTGAAAAAATTTGAGTATTAGTTTATCAAATTAGATTTGTCTTTAAACTGGTAAGAATTAATTACGAGTTATAAATTAATTAATCTAGTAAAATATGAGTAATTTTTAGTAATTAATACTAAAAATAGTATATATGCAAAAATGCAAAATGAGCATATATAATACGTCATGAAAATATTTGTACTAAAAAATAATTTCTGGAACTTCTATTTGATTCGTCAAAAAAGAAATAAAAATTACATTAGGCTTCAAAAAAGCCAACAATTCTAAACCCCAACCAAACCACACCTCGTCATGATGATAATAATAAAATAATAATACCTCGTCCTTCATATTAATCTGGAACAAAATGACCCCGTCATGTTCATCTAATTAGCCTCTGCTGCTGTTCCATCAGTCTCGATTTTGGTTTGCAAATGAATAAAAGTCAGAAATAAATTGGATTAGCGAGCAGGGAGGACTTGATGCCTTCACGTTCGTCAGCCACCACTCGTCCAAATTCGAATTCGAATTTAATTCCTGTTTAAATTACGAAAACGGGCATGTAAGCGTATGCATATAATGCACCCTGGTGCTGACTTAACTCAGCACAAATCACTCAATTACATGGTATTTCATTGTTCCCGAGATACATACAAAATGTGGGAGAGTTGAGTCCCACTGCGTCCTTTTTATCTGGCCGTCCAGTCCACTTAAATTGTTTAAGTAGCAATTATGCTCCCTGCTCAGTGGTTCTTGTTGGGAAAACAATGGCTCTTTTGGACCCTGGATGATGTTCCAGTTCGGATTTCAAATGAGATGATGATGATGAAGATCCATTTTCACGGAGTCATTCTCCGCTAATTTACTCCAAGCGAGAGAGAGAGAGATGCACTCGTAACATTACATTTATGCATTTTTTATGAGAGAAACATGACATGGTTTCGTTACATTTTTCATCTCCAGAAGCTCCAAGTGGAGAAGTAGGCTGATTTTGGATAGTATGGAAATGTTGGCTGGAGCTGGTTGTAAAATTAGGTTACGAGTTATTCGAATTTGTGTAAAAGAAAAATTTTGAGTGAAATTTTGACTTATAAAATTGGGTGCGTTACGAGTTACTCGAATTTGTATACAGGACAAATTTTGAGTAAAATTTTGAATACTCGAATGACTGGAATCGGTTTCTGGATAAGAAATATTAGCTGGAAATGTTATAAAATTGGGTGATCTATGAGTTAATCGAATTTGTGTAAAAGACAAATTTTGAGTAAAATTTTGAATCCGGTAACTGTCATCGATTCGTAGAAATTTCGTTATTATACTTTTTTACCAACTCACTTCTAATAAAGCAGCGTCAGACTTTCATCTCATTTCATTCACCGTTTTTTTCTAAGCCGAACCTACCGACGCACCGGATGAGAAGAATTAAAGTTAATTATGATGATATGGGGAGGACAAATTGTTGCAGGCAAAGGGTCCCTACCCGCCAGCCAGTATCGGCATTTTGTGACTATTCATTACCCAAGTACCCATCAGGTCGGGATCATCCTTTCCTTGACTGAACTCGTAAAATGTCCATGTCGCTCTTGACTTTTCCTCTCTCTGTCAAAACATGGACAATAATTGAGAGCAATTTTCAAAATACAATGTCCCACTAACTACATGTGTACCTCTCTGGATCCCCTCAAACCAAATAAACTCACTCACTAATCCTCCACAATGAAGAGTCATCTAATCCTAATTTGAACCAATTGTTATTGATGACGACTGTGTGGATGGATGAAAATGAGACGAATATGTACACGGAACCCTTCCAGGTTCCAATTACTTTGCAGTGCCATCAAAAAAGAACCAACGACTCGACCATCCATCCAATTTACCCCGACAAAAAAACGGTTATTCCTCAATTTCTGTGTATATATGACACTCTAAAAAGGTGAATAATGCATGCATTCTCAAGTTGCATCATCTCAAAATTATCGGATCCTGGTCCTTTTAGCACGTAATATTTCCTCAATTTTGTTCTGCATAATTCGATTTCGCAGGTGGATTACTTACTGAGAAAGAAAGAGATTCATGGGGAAATTGTGATTAAAAAGTTGTGCTTGTATTTTTTCGCGTCGTACACAGAGTCACGTTTGACCTTTGACCACTTCTTCTGAGACGACGACTCGCCCCATTAAAGTTGTACGTAAAACGTAACGTCTCATTACGGTAATTATGGTTTTGGGCTAACTCAATTAGAGTGAAGAACAGCAAGAAGAATGGTCTCTTACTTATTATTATTTTGTGTCTCTGCTGGTTTCCCATACATGTTAAATTCTTATTATTACGACGACCAAGAGACGCAGTTTAGTCGCAGTCGGGTGAGTAGTGAAACTTATAGAAATGGAGGAAAATAAAGTACCAATAAACTAGAGGAGACTAATGGGTGATGATAATTATGGGGTGATGGGGGCAGGGACGAAAACAAAAAGAAATGAAATTATCTATGGATGGATGGGAATTCTTATCAATTTTGGCTCCAAGTCAAAAGTCAAGAGACACACTTTGGATTATGGAGTGTAGTTTTTCGAATTTTAAATAAATATTTTCGGTATTTGGATTTAAGAATTTCATGAAATTAATTTTGTGGAATAGCAATCGTTCAATGGTCAGTTCAGGATTTGTAGTAATTTTTTATGCAAATAGATACTTTAGAATTTTTTTTGATTGTATTACGCCGGTTTTGGAAAATTGGAATATTTTGGTTTAATGATTGAAGAAAGATACGCTTACCTTTAGGTTCAGAAGTAGAATGGTAGTAAGGTTTTGTAGAAAGGTACATTTAGATAGAATTAAGGAATTAATTTTCTATTTCCTATTAAAATGAATAGTGTTATTCAGATATTGAGCATTTAGGATGCAGATTGGAGGTAAGCATTAATTACTTATTACATGGTTTTGAAATAATTAAAGTACTCATGATGATGTATGAAAACTTTAATCAAATTGTAAACATATTCTAAAATCACCGGAATTTATTTTAGTCTTTTTAACTTTTTCAACATCTCCTTAATAATAACTTGATATTGTTTTATTTATCTTGCCGTTAATTGCACCGGAAGTCCATTTTCTGATCGGAGTATCTAAATACAGTCAAACTTGATTATTTAGTGAATGTAACATCTTTTATGATTAATTTTCTCTTAAATTTCTTAAAACAAACCATTTCCGATAATAATTTCAACTCTTTCGGCGGTGTCATCGCTTTGACGTTATAGCTTCGAAGAATCGTTGAAATCATAACTTTCTCCTCCATCATGGCGAATTTTTGACCAATGCAATTTCGAGGTCCGGCAGAAAACGGGACGAATGCGAACGCATCATGCGATCCGGCTAGGAAACGCTCCGGCCTAAATTCTTCGGGGTCAGTAAATGCCATCGCGTCTCTGTGGATTTTGTAAATGAAAATTCCCACCGTCAAACCTTTCGGCATTATTCTGCCGTCATCTGTCAAAAAATAAGTCAAAAAATAAGTAATTAATTACGACAATTAAGTCAAAATTTTGACAGTTTTCTTGCCTTACCGAGCGGAATATCTGTCGATAAGGTACGCTGAATAAAGGGAACTGACGGGTAAATACGGAGCGATTCCTTAATTACGATTTCCAAATATTTCATTCTCGTCAAATCTTCCGACGTTACGGGACGATTTTTGTCATCGCCGAAAATTGAGTCGAGTTCATCATGCACTTTTGCCTATGTAAATATTTATAAATATTTTTGTGCAAAAAATCAGCAAGTTATTTGATAAAACTTTTACTTGAATTTGCGGATAGCACCCCAACGCGTACAGGGTAAAGCTCACATTCGACGAGGTGGTGTCATGTCCCTATAATTTAATATATTTATGTTAAAGTGTTGACTTTAATTGGTAATTATTTATGTATACTAAAATACGTGTTGGATTTGATATTGACCGAAAATTAATTACCTTTACTTAATTATTATAAATAATCATTGATTACTCACTTTTCTAAGTACTGATTAATTATTAATCGGTGATTAAGTAATGATTAAGTAATTAATTAGTAATACCTCAAACATGAAGGTGTCTGTTTCTTCTCGAATGTCGACATCGCTTAATTCTTGTTCTCCCTTCTCAGCCTGAACTTCGAGCAAGAGGTCGAGAAATGCTAACCGTCTTTTAGCTGAAATCATTGATTTCAAAATTTATCCCCAAAATTTTCAGATTTGATTTGATTTGAAGAAATTCTCACTTTTAAAGTAAACATTTTCCGAATCGTCCACACTTTTCTCGGACGGCTTGGCTTTCTTCTCACTTAAAAATGCTGCCTTTCTTTCCGCAATCACTTTATTGGTGAAACCGTGAAGTGTTTTTAAAATTGCTTTCTGTTTTTTGTACAAGGAGGAAAGTTTCCAAAGAATTTCGAAATGTAGCCAGGGCCGGAAAGATCGATCCTGCGCGAGCCGTCCAAATCTTTGAAGAATTAATTTGCATAAGTGATGAATTCAAAAAAATAAAAAATTGTTGAGTTTATATTCTTACTCGTTGATCGCTTTAATGTAATCACTGTCATGAACGTCTTGCGCATTTATGGACGTACCCATTGCAGTTTCTGTTTTTTTTTGTAGATTTTGAAAATAATTTTTTTTTTAATAATAATTTTTTTAATTGTCATAAAAAAGTGTTCTAACTCACCGCAAATAATGTCCAACGCACATCTCGTAACGAAATGATGGATATCAAATGTATTCCCAGATTGACACTCTTTCTTCAAAATTTTAACCATCTTTTGCGACTCTGCGTTGAAAACTTGCATAAAATCTTCCAAGATTTTAAAATGGAAAGCTGGAGTAAGCATTTTCCTTCGGTGTCCCCATTTTTCACCTGAGTGTATTAATTCAATTTGCTTAATTAAGCAATTAATTGGGTAATAAATAGACCAGATTGTAGTACCTGTGCTCATGAGAAGTCCATCACCCAGCCAGGGACGAACCCAGTCGTAATCATTTCCTTTTGTAATGTTTGTTTGCGAGTTGAACAATTTCTGTCGGTTAAAAATATTTACATAATTTTGTAATAAAGCGGCACTTCATGGCAATTGACATCTATTAAAATTTTTAATTTAAAAGTTGTACTATAAAAAAATCTTTTATAAAAACATAACTTTACTGGCCAGAAACGGAGGATTTGACTTCTAAATTATGTCTTAATATTCCAAAACTATTTATAAACACAGTAATTATTGCCCAAAAATCATCTCTTAACTTCACATTTGCTACCTACATATAAACCAATTTATAAGCTTGGTTATCCCAAGAAAATTGGACGACGTCAGCCGAATTTATACCCAAATTTAGGACATTTGACATTATTTTCACCCTAATCTACGTACAACTAGAAGTAATCATTTTCCCCCATGCAAAAAATAACTTAAATATACATAAAGCTTTTAATTTATTAAATTCGTCTGAATTTTTGTCACCTCTGCAGCTTTAGCTTCCGAAACCATCAACGCCGTCCCGAAAGGTGACCATAGTCTGACGACAGAACCATAAAAATCTCCCCAGGAGCTCATATAACCCAAAAGCTCTGCAAATAATTAATTGAACTTTTTACTGGCAAATAATTTTTGCACTACATATTTGCATATTTCTTTCATCTGCTCACCATTCCTAGGAGTTCTTAGAAAAAATGGCATAATCCCCAAAAGCGGGACGTGACCTTCCGCCGGCGTCGGAAATTTAGCCAACAACCGGTTCGTTCTAGATTTGTAGAAAAATACGAAATAAAAAATTACTCCAGCGACCAAAGCATAAAACCAGGTTTGGTCAAACATGATGCTTATTATGAGTTATAATTCGCAAAATTTGAGTTAAAATTCGCAAAAATATGTTATGTATTTATATAATAATAATCCAGAAAGGAGATTTAATTTGTTCGAGGTCCAAAACAAAACTGTATCATTCGGAGACCTTGATATCCAATTTATTTACTGGATTCATCCTCCTCCATAACCTTTGCCTTCTTATATATACTACGTGTTTTATCATATTTATCATATGTGTATATATCTAATCATGAATGAGACGAGTTTAGTTAGTTAATAGAGTTTAGTTTAGTTAATGCCACGTTAAATAGTGTAGTAAGTGCATGATTCAGAACGCTCGGGATCATGAGTTGCGAAAAACATACTCTCCAATCCATTATCCAATTAAGCTCAATTAAAAGTATCGTTAAGCTGCAGTTTCACGTGCTTAAAAAGAGGAATCTAATCAGTGAGTGACAGTCTCGTCCATAATCGGACGTTGAATTGATATTTGTTGATGGACACAGTGGCCGCGGAAGGGTGTGGACAGAGGGACAATGTCCCCACGGTGGTTCGATGTTCCCATCATCTTCCTATGTTATGTAAACCCCTCCCTCCCCCATCCTACAATGGCAATGTCCCCACAGCTTCCGCGGCCTCTGGATGGACACCATATATTTATTTACCATATCGTGTGTACGTGATACTATTTTATTTACCAAAAGTATAACTAACAAAGGGTTAATAATATTAGTGGAAAGCATTAATTGTGATGATTGCATGTGATGCCTTTGTTCACGCCACTGGCGACAAAGAGATATGTGCGTACAATGAACTAGCTAACGGAAGTGCAGTGCTGAAAATATATGCAGTGGTCAAGGTCAGTCATGTGAAATAAGAGAGATATTTCGTTATTGATATGCATCGTTCGTTTGATATCAAACGATAAAACTTGACATTTTTGCCTTTGTCCTGTTTGCCACTGGGTCATCGCAGGTCAAAAAATATATTCCTTTGGATAGACCGAGACAAATGCTATCAATTTGACCTCCTTCCTTTCATTACTGAATTTAGTTCATGTCGCTATTTAGTAATGCTCAAAAAGTATTTATAAAATGCAGTAAGAGAATACTGTATCGCCTGCTTCTGATATGCATGCATAATACTCAGAATTATAGAATGTGCATATGTCTTACTTACTATGCTAAATTGCATTGTCATTTATTGGTAATCAATAATCGTGAATTAATACACTACATGTTTATACACTTGTTTTAAAAAGTGTAGGTTATCATTTTTCTGTAAAATTACACTTATCCACTCTGACTGAATGCAAGAGATATTTTCATAGACTTATATATACTTGTGGGATATTTCATATTAAATGGATCCGATTTCTTATTGGTTACATGTAAATTTTACCCGTCAAGCCAAATCTGACAGAAAAACATGCACACAAATGTTGTAACTTTACCAGCATTCCCAAAAGTTCTTAATTTTTTTTACAATAAGTAAATTACGAAATGGAACCTACAACAATTTTATTTGCCCCTCTCAGTGCGTGGGGTCACATTAATTCTTGCCTACAAATAGCTAAAGTATTACAAAGTAGACACAACTGCAAAATAATTTTTATAACGAACGAAACTTGGGCTGGAAAATTAGTTCAATACAATTTTCGCCATGAAACTTACGCCACATCCACGGCTGAAAATAATTCGCAACCTATTCCATCTCAAAATTGGACGGATTTAGTGAAACAATCCGGACAGGAAGTAATGGGTCAAAGTTCACTCCAAAAAATTACGACTTTTGGTTACAACGCGTACAAGCACATGGTAGACGAAGTGATTCAAAGTGATTCACAAATTAAGCAAATCCTTGAAACATTATCAACAATTAAACTAATTGTAATTGACAATTACATCCTGAGCCCTTCCCTGGTGAAATATTGTGTCGATAAGTGCATTCCTTGGGTCCGGTTAAGATCCGCGAGCCCGATGGAAATCAATCAGACAAATCTTCCCCCACAAAATAGTGGATATTCAATCAAAAATCCTGATCTTCAAGCATGGGATGAATTTACGCAAAAACAAACGGAAACATTTTCCCCATTGGTGGCAAAGTTTTCAACGTTTTTCAAAGAAATTTATCCCCCACAAGAACTTCCCCTGAACGATTTTATCATGGACTCGCCACACTTAAATTTGTACATGTATCCACAATCCATCGATTATACGGGGATTCGTCCCATGCCAGCAAAATGGGAACGGATTAATGCTGTTGTACAAGACGATGATCATGAAGATGAAGGTTATAAATTTCCGGAAGGATGGTTGAGCAAGTCAAAAAATTGGAAAGTCATTTGCTTATCATTGGGAACATTCGGGTCTGCAGATTTAGAACTGATGACAAATCTTATCAAAATGCTGGCAGAATATCCTGCATATTTTATAGTGTGCACAGGTACATAAATTTAGGTCTGGCCAGAAACAGTGGCCGCGGAAGCGTGGGGACAGGGGGCAATGTCTCCCCGGTTATTCGATGTCCCCATCATCTCCCCATGTTATATAAACCCCTCCCTCCCCTATCCTACAATGCTAATGTCACCACGGCTTCCGCGGCCACTGAAAGTTGGTATTTTTGCTTGAAAACTGTTGTTTATTTATCAAATTTAATTATTCTAAAACTGATTATAGGACCGCATCACGATACTTTGAAGCCACTCTTGGGAAGTAACATGTCCGGTGAAAGCATCCTACCGCAGGTGAAAGTCCTTGCGAAAATTGACGCCATGATTTGCCACGGTGGAAATGCAACGGTGAACGAATGCTTCTACTTTGGTCGACCCATGATTCTCATGCCGTTTTTTGGCGATGAGTACGACAATGCTCAACGGGTTCATGAGGAAGGGCTCGGCATTCGTCTGGACCCTTACAAATGCACGAAGAATGAATTATTTGCTGCCTTGGGGGAAGTCACGGGGGATGAAATGATGGATCAGATGAAGCTCATTTCTTCCCAGATTCGACAAGAGGGGAGTGGTGCTGATAAGGCTGCTAGTTTGATATCAGAATTACTAAAGACTTATAATTAAAATTTAGACATTGTAAATAATTGAAAACTAATTGTAAGTACTTGCAGAATGACTTTTACTTATGTATGACTACGACGTTAATTTTTATGTTAACTACATATTTATTACATAATATTCGATAAGGAATTGTGATACAAACTACGGAATTGCAACATATGAAAAATTTTATTCTTGTCATAAAACTAGCCATTTATCACGAAATCTATTAAAAATCCTTAAAAATCTGAATAACTTTATCCACATCGGACAAGTCAGAAAGTGTGTAATGAGGCTGTAGATCCATCAAACTTTTAAAATCGTACGATCCTGTCGCCACCGCCAGAACCTTTTCGCCATTCAGCACTCCACATCCAACGGGGTGTCCCCAACAATTAGCGTATTTTCTGGTGAGAATTTAACATTGGAAGAATTTCTCCCAAGAATCCCTGGAAGCATATCATTCCTTTTCTTGTAAGTGTCCCCAAACGCGGACTTATCCATGTCAAAAATCAGAGTTGGCTGTGAAATTCCGGCCGCTTTAATTTTGGATAACGCATTGACTTGAGAATTTCCAGTGAGCAACCCAAAATGAATATCATTTGTTTCCCAATAGTGCTTTAAATCTTGTATCTTTTTTACTAGTTCTAGAATTCCAGGACAAGGTTGAATTTTGATAGGATTTTCTAAAATTTCATTTTCCAAATAGGCCGGATGTAGTTTAAAGAATTGTTGACTTAACTCGAACACCAATTCCTCAGAATTTTCCAGGTTTTTGTTCACGTGAAGCTTGATAATTTCTGAGACAAGATTTAAATCCGTTTGGCCATGCAGGTTGACCTGGGACGAACTTTTCAAGGTGATTTCTTTCCTTAGGACGTGTGTCATGCATTTAAAAAATGCTCCAACGCTAACCGCCTGCGAATCTAGGAGGGTCCCGTCAATATCGAATAGGATCAATTTTGGGGTGCTTTTCCCTTCCTTATCAATAATCACGGGATTCGTGGAGGGGTTAATAAGAAGGCGCAGGATTTCTCTGTCCCCGTTGAAACCGTCGCGTCCATGGAGCCACCAATGGTTATCCAAAATGTAGCCTTCCCCCTCTTTAAATGCCTCCCGAAGTTGAAGTCTGGCCAAATGATGCATCAATTGGGGCAGTTTTTCAGCCAAAAGATGGTTGAAGTATATCCCATCGTCAAATCGACATCGGATTTTATTCTCCCCATAAAACATTGGAAGAGGTTTAAAGCTTCGATCTTCTTGTTGGAATTGGGTCATTTTAGAAGATTGTAACAATTTAAAAAGTTTTGAATCTTCGGAAAGAATTTGGGTTTGAAGATGTCTCCCGTTGACGAACGTGCTGTGACCACCTGTAGATAAAAATTTCAAATGTTCGTGCAAAATTGCAAATCCTTTTATAAAATTGCAAATTCTTGTATAAAATTGAAAATTCTTGCATAAAATTGCAAATTCTTTCATAAAATTGCAAATTCTGGTATAAAATTTCAAACTCCGGTATAAAATTAAAAATTCTTCTATAAATTGCAAAATTCTTGAGCAAAAAACATGTATACCATAAAAACTAAAAATTTACCAGATTTGCTTTGTTTTTTGACCGTCGTCATTAAAAATCTTGGTGGGTTGTCCATCCCACTGCGGTCAGTATGCAGCAATAATGCCGTCCTGGTGTAGCCTTTCCCTTCCAGGGTGTGGTCCGGATGAATGTTTGCGACCCCGTTTTCTGACCCATGTCGCGGATTAAATACGTGTCCAAAGTGTTTAGAAATTTCAGTCAGACTTTGTTCCGACTTTATATTTCTTACGAAAACAATTCCCCGTTTGGTAATTTCTTCGCAGGCCTTGACACCAATTAAGGCGTCATTTCCGTCCAGCCACAAAATTTCCATGTTGTCCTGTTCGAAAGATGTAGTGCTTGGATTGACCATTTTTTAAAATTGTATGTTGAAACGTGTGTCTCGTACTGATTAAAACTTGTCCTTACAGCTTCAATTTATACCTCAAGTTAAGCATTTTTTCACAGAAATTGATAATCTCTCATTCAAGGAAGGCATGACATTTAAAAACAACAACATATGACACCCAATAACATGAAATGCAACAACATGTTACCCAAAATTGCATTCGTTGTTTAATGCTGAAATGTTTTGATGGATTTCATGAACTGTACTCATACATAAGTCATGCATACATTTAATTGATGTTAAGCTAACTGCGAAATTAAGATTAACGGTATCGCGTTGCATCTTCTCTGAATTGTCTGGTTTCTGAGAAGTTTTATGCGTAAATCCCACTCCATCCAGCTCGCAAACTCTTTAATTGTGTCTGATAATAATTTGACATTTGCACTTTGCAGCTTTTTACCAAGTAATAAAACACGTACGTAAGTTTTATTTATCAGAATAAAGTCTGCTGACCGGATAAGATTTTAATTATGCTCCAAACTTCCAAGTAGTTTCCTCTTGTTTATCAAATTTCTTGCTTAAGATGGACAATTTGATCAGATTTATTTCCAAGAAGTTTAAAGTTAAATTAAATTGGAACTGTTTAAACAATTTTTTCATATAAATTTGTAATTTAGCATGAAGTAGGAAATCTAGGAGGGAAATCTAGGAGGGTCGTGTCAATATCGGGGAGGATCAATTTTGAGGTATTTTTCCCTTCTTCTTTTTGTAAAGCATCAATAATCACGGGATTGATCAGAAGTCGTAGGACTTCTCTGTCCCCGTTGAAACCGTCGCGTCCATGGAGCCACCAATGGTTATCCAAAATATAGCCTTCCCCCTCTTTAAATGCCACCCGAACTTGAAGTTTGGCCAAATGACGCATCAAATGGGGCAGTTTTTCAGCCAAGGAATGGTTGAAGTATATCCCATCGTCAAATCGGCATCGGATTTTACTCTCCCCATAAAACATTGGAAGACATTTGAAGCTTCGATCTTCTTGTTGGAACTGGGTCATTCTAGAATCTCGCAACAATTGAAAAAGTTTTGGATCTTCGGAAAGAATTTGAGCTTGAAGATGTTTCCCGTTGACGAACGTGCTGTGGCCACCTGCAGATATGCGAATGTAATGGGCCAAACTTTTAATTGAAATATATTGAAATTTCATAACTTGAATTTCCAGTGCTTTTTGTATTTTTTTGAACCATCCCTATAACTGAATCCTTCAGACAAGGCTTTTCATCATAACTCATGTTTTAATAGAGTCTGCAATGTAAATTTTTTGTACTGAATTACGCAACTGCAAATTCAAGTTATGCGATTTCAATATTTTTCGCAATGTGATTTCAATTAAAAGTCTGGCGGATTAAAAATAACCCTTAATTTTCCAATTTTTTTTATATTTGCCCGATGAAGACAGCAGTAAGTCATTGAAAGCTAGCAATTTTCAAATAAAATCAAGTATTATCTCCGAAAACCGCAGAAATGTCTCGTCATAAAAATAACCCTTTCAAATTCTTGCATAAAATTGCAAATTCTTGAGTTAAAAACATACTTAAACGATAAAAACTAAAAATTTACCAGATTCGCTTTGTTTTTTCACCGTCGTAATTAAAAATCTTGGTGGATTGTCCATCCCACTGCGGTCAGTATGCAGCAATAAAGCCGTCCTGGTGTAACCTTTTCCTTCGAGGGTGTGATCCGGATGAATGTTTGCCACACCGTTTGGTGACCCATGTCGTGGATTGAATACTTGTCCAAAGTGTTTAGAAATTTCTGTCAGACTTTGTTCTGACTTTATATTTCTTACGAGAACAATTCCCCGTTTGGAAATTTCTTCGCAGGCCTTGGCACCAATTGAGGCGTCGTTTCCGTCCAGCCACAAAATTTCCATGTCGTCCACTTTGAAAGATGTTTCGTAATCTTTTGATTTAAATGTGGGAACGTGTACTGATTGAAATTTGTCCTTTCAGCTTCAATTTATCCCTCAGGTTAAGCATTTTTTCATAGAAGTTGGTAATCTCTTATTCAAGAAAAGTAGGGTATTCAATAACAACATGAAGATGAAGTGCAAAAACATATAACCCAAAATAACTTGCATTCGTTGTTTAATGCTGAAATGTTTTGACGGATTTCATGAACGGTACTCATAAGTCATTTAATTGAAGTTAAGCTAATTGCGAAATTATGTAACTTACATAATGTAAGGTTAATGATATCGTTACATCTCTGAATTTTCTGTAGTTCTCTGAGAAGTGCAACATATGCCACTCCTGCTTGCAAACTCCGACCCTCCGATTGTGTCTCGTAATAATTTGACATTTGCACTTTGCAGCTTTTTACCAAGTAATAAAACACGTACGTAAGTTTTATTTATCAGAATAAAGTCTGCTGACCGGATAAGATTTTAATTATGCTCCAAACTTCCAAGTAGTTTCCTCTTGTTTATCAAATTTCTTGCTTAAGATGGACAATTTGATCAGATTTATTTCCAAGAAAGTTAAATTAAATTGCAACAGTTTTTCCATATAAAATTGAAATTCAGCATCAAGTACAAAATGAGTCAGGCCATCTATCTCATCAATCAAGACAGGTTTCCTGCATATGCACATATGTACATCAAATGTCGCATTATTACGTATATCATTAGCAGACTTCACTTAACCATACATTTAGATTCATATTTAGATAGTTTAATAGTTAATAATAAGGGTAGAAAGATTAAGTAATGTGTTTCTGTTTGTTTTTGGCAATCGGGACTCCGTTATCACTGTAATACTAGGAAAGTTATAGTTTACGTATAGTGTAAAATTTAACTTGTAAGTAAAATGGGCGGATATATTCCTTGTAAATTCTTATTTTTTGTATTTCGTTAGTCATCACATTTTTTTTTTAGACAAATCCATACTTTGCCAGCTCTAAAAATTTCAGATAAGAGAAAAATAAATCATATGAATAAAATAAAATTTTCAAATTTAAATAATGTTCAAACCTTTATAATAATTTTCCATCCTAAGCATGGCTGGGACAAGCTCGTCATCAAATGCGTCATCCTCCTCGAGATTTCCACCCAAACTTTTCGGAAGAATGTCAGGCGATACAAGTTCCGTTAAAGATTCGGCGTCCCGGTGTAGTTTGACCTGAAATTATTAATTATTAATTTTCCAATTTAAAATGGCAAATAAACGAACATCTTCAATATCTCACTCACTCTCGATTGAAGTCTTTTAGCAATGAAACGCTTCACCAAATTACAGAAAAGGTCCAGAACGTATGGTTGATTAACGAGATGGAGGGCTTTATATCGACCGGGGAAATTATCCTGGGAAAAAATTTTGATATTTTTTGGTTATAAATTTAATTGCTTACAAGGCTGATAACTTGTCAAATTATTATCTAACCTGCATAAATACAATTAACTTGTGCATGGCTGGAAGTGTGCCTGCATGAAAAGAAAATTACGTTTAATTACATATTTTTGTAATGCATATATGCAATCATGTTGGAATAAGTGGTAATTAATATGTCACTTAATTATCGTTAAATAATTAAATAATTACATTGTCTCGCATGCGCAAGACCTAATCCATTCTCATCAATAAGTATAACGGCGCCGTGGCACTGATTAACTGGACACCAGCTCATTTGTTCGGCCACTAGGACGCAAGCGATTGTAATATCTTCAAAAGATATCACGTCCGGGTCCCATTTTGCTAAAAAATTGAAAACATTTTTGTTAAAATGCTTACTTTAATTAATTTATATTGTGAAATTATTAATTTATTATTTTTAAAAACATACAAACTCTAAAGACAAAAGTCTTGCGTTGTAAGTCATCCCTATTTTTGAGCAGTCCAATAATTCCAGATTCCAACACGTGGCGATATCGTGATGGATAAAAGTTTTCGAATTGCTTTGCAAATTTCCGTCTCGCATCGTAATATTTTTTTAACTGTGATACCAATTAATCTCAAAATTATTAAAGGATTCGATACGGAAGTACCTAAATTAAAATCACCAAGTAAATTCTACTCACACTTTGGACCACTACTTCCGAATTGTACTTTTTAGCTCGGACAAATCGCAACAAAAATATGTCGTCTTTTGGAATATTTAGTTTCCCGTCTAACAAAAGGAATTAATTTATTATTGCAAAATTTACAGTATAAATTTTTTAGCAAAATTTATTCATTTCGCAACCTTTTTTAAGTAGGTCCCAAACTTCCTTTTGACAATCCAACGCCTTCTTCAATTCTTCTTCCGTCGTTCCCACAAGTTTCGCATCCATTCTAGCCATCACTCCAATGTGACGAATAAAAGAACCGAAATATCACTTCACTAATTCACAAATCCCCGAAAAATCCCCCAAAAAATGGGACTGACCTAAAAAAACTTTAACCAATAACTTTTAACCCACTCTCCCAAACCACACTGAGCTGATTATGCAATCTTTCTTTGTGTCGTGGCGTGTCAGGTCACAAAAATACGTTTCTGCTGCTGCTCCTTTGGTCTCCTTTGTTCTGATTAAGATGATTTAAGATAAGTTGACGATAAGTCGTCGTCTCCGCCGTCACTCATAGAGTTGGTGACCCTCACCCTGCCTCCACAACCTGCTGGTCGACTAAGTAAGTCGTAAAACGAATGAGACTTATTTCATGATAATCTTTCAATTTTTGCATAGAATTGGATACCATGACTGACAAAGCATGTAGAAAAAAAGTGAATGGAGTCATTCCTTGCGTATTTTTCGTGAAGGGCTTGTAGATTTTTTCTTAAACTACAGGCACGCAATGTTAATGTAAGTACCACCAAAAATGAAAGGTTAACCCTTACGCAAGACTCATGACATTCAGGCTTGAGTCATTTTTCCATCTTTTTTTTATAAACACATTTTTGCATCTTTAAACAATGCAGATAGATGCAGATCATTATATGCTTGCGTATTTTATGTGTGTTTGAGGGTACAAGTTCTAGGTGGGGAGGACATACCTACATAGTCGAGGAGGGATATCGTACGATAAGATGACGACGATGATATAACGATACGTTGAGCAATTTTATTGTACAACAACATCTCATCTCGTCGTCTCTGCTAACTAACATGCAAGGTAAAGTGAATCGTAAAATGTGCAAAATGCGACTGAATTGTAGGTGCAATACCAAAATTCGAAGCTATTAGAAACCTGTTCCTTACACAATTTCAGCAGGCATTACATACATGCATATACGACCATTACGTATATGCACATGCGGCTTTTTGCTAGTAGTGGTAGCAATAGTTTGATCATAGCAAATTAGCAATGTTTGTCACAAAAATCCGCTTAAAAAACGTATCACATACATAACGCCTATTACAATGCAGAAATATTAAATGCTTCTTCTTACGTAAGAAAGACAACAAAGAATTCGTCATCGTAAAGTATGTATGTATGAATTGAAATGATTTAATGGATTCATCACTGAAGTGACTGAGGTACTTAAATATGCACTTGCATACTAAAAATTTACAAAACTTTGTAAAAAAATCTTATGTAAATATGCGTCATGTATTTAGCAACTGTATTAAAGCATATGAAAATTATTATTCGCTACAATTTCGAAAAAAAATTTGCATCAAAATAAAATCTCAAATTGTTCAACAAAACATTTCAGAGGTAGGAAATTGGGAAGAAAAATTGCAAATTATCACCTCAAAAATATGCATTTCTTCTAAAATACTCGCCTTTAAGGCGACACATTTTACAAGTTGGTATCACATTATTCTTGTTTATTGTTAGCTGTTACAGGTACACGCGAATACAATGGAGCATTGTTGTTATTTTGGCGAGGGTGGATTTTTGCACATCCAAATATCAGTTGTGCCAGCAAGCCGGCGGTAACAGAAATCTAAACAGAAATCATATTTATAAAGGTAGAAGATTTTTTGTTGGTGTAACAGATAACAGACTAACAGATTTATAAAGTGTGAATCACAATATTCACAATTAAACTAATTAACTCAATTAACTATGTTAATACAAAGAAGTGTCTTAATTAATAATTAATTAGAAACAAAAAGTTTTTCCATATCTTTTAAACTACTACTGAAAACGATGGAGTCCGATTTCGGTGCTGGAGGAGGAGTAACTCCCCGACCATTAAAACCTCCCCGAGGAAATAAAGTGGGTGGGGGTGGTGGGGGCACTAAAGAGACGGGAATATTGATGCGGGTTATCAAAACGTTATCTTCCGCTGCATCGACGGACCACCGGGATAGAGAGAAAACCAAGCTGGAAAAGGACTTTAAAAAGAGTGACGCCCAGCTTGACGGCCTCTTGGCGACGAGACAACCCTCGCTCAGTTCGGTGATGCAGGTGAAGATAATTCGTGGTTAAAGTTGATAATAAGTTAAGTATGAATGTATTAATTATAATTATGTTTGTAATTAATGCAGCTATTTTCGCACGTTTGTGGCGAAGTCGGAAGTGCCAAGGAGCGGATAAAATCGGTCAAGGGAAGTCTTCAACAGTGCAAAATGTTGTTGCAGTGTCGACGTGAGGAATTACAGCGGCTCTGGTTGGAAGGGATTGAACATAAACATGCCTTACAAATTTTTGCACAAATGTGAGTTAGTAATTTATTGTTTTAAAATTGGATACCAAATATTTATAAATACGAATTTCATTTGCAGTGAGAAATTAAGAGAAGGAGGTGATAATTTTTCAAAGCTCTTAAACCGGAAACAGTACATTCCTGCTGTTGAAGTGCTGATGGAATGTTTACAAAGCTGGACTCCCAGTCTCGACCAGATAGAAGGACTTCATGATCTGAGGGACGAACTGAAGCTTAAACGCGATGTACGTAGATAAATCAATTTGACGTAAATATCTATTTATTAAATATTTCTTGTTGATTTTATTAGAAAATTTATGAGACCCTCAAAGAAGAATTGTATCGCGAAATTTACCACAATTTTAACAAAGAACCGTTCGAGCGGCGTCAAGGTTCTGGGGCCCACTTTAGCCGTGGGGGATCTGATCGGCTAAGTTCTGGGAAAATGACTCAAGTAAAGGCTAGAAAAATATTCATGGATTTCGGTCAAAATGCAAATCCTACAAATTTTGCAAAAAATGCTGACTCGCAAGAACATGATAGCTTCATCACCACCGTTGTTGATTGTATGGTCCGCTTGGAGGAAGTGCCACGATTTGTGAAGGTTCGACAAGTTTGTACTTCACATAAGTGTACTAAGTTACTAATTGTACATATAGTGTATTAATTTTATTTAATGTACAGGATTTGAGACATAATCTCGAAGAAAACTTAATGGCCGTCGTTAATTCTGCATCTCGACACATTATTGAGTACGGGGATGCTAGCGGCGTCAGTGAAGCCGACACTGCCATTTTCCAGAAATTGATCCAGCTCATTTTTACCCAGTTTCGCTCAATTGTTCGCTCCCACGCCTTAATTCTTCGCCACTTGGAACAGGCTTTGGGGAAGCAGAAGCCCAATGTAAAAATTCACAATGAAGAGTATATCTGGACTAAAGTACAAGCTGTCGTGAGTTCAACAAAACTAATTACTAATTGTAATAAAAAAACATTTATTGATATCCATAAATATTAAATAATTACATTATTTAGTTGCAATCCACGCTCAAGATTTACTTTGGATTAAGCGACTCAAAACAAGAATCCGGAAATTCGGAATTTATGGACACCACCCTTTCCATCAATAGTTATTTTGTCAAAAGAAGAGCACAACGAGCAAAGAGACCCTTGTTCAAATTCAAGTATTCACTACATGGACTTAACGTTAATGATTATGTTGTGCAAGAAGGAGTAAGCAAAAGCAAAAAAAACCTGTCATTATTCTACTTGTCTCGTTACAATTTCTAATATTTTTATATTCACCTGTTTAGAGCGATATGAACCGAAGTGCCGTTGATCGTCATCGATTCCTCGTTTGTAAACCAAGCTCGAGAAACTTGATTGCGATTTATAGTGTAGTTCAAGAATTGTGTTCAGAAATTGAGCAGACTACTAATGGGTATAAATGAAATTCATTCAAATTAAAAGAACCAATCACAAAAATAAAAGACAAAAAAATTAAAGCGTATATTTGCCAGTGCTGTGCATAATGTTTAAGTGTATTGATGAGTACTAATTGAATTTTTATATTTTTTTCTGCAGACAAAAATGTGAATTACGGAAATTCATGGGCAATAATGTGAACAAAGTGTTTGTTCAACAAATATACAAAGAAATATCAGACGCTGTTGAATCAGCCAAGAAGAATCCTGACTTCTGGAAGGATTGCATATCGTTGGACGAATCCAAAGCGCTTAAGGCAGTTCGCCCCTTGTTGCAGGTAACCATACGATATTGTAGATATTTGTAAACCTCGTAAGAAGGACTAACAAATATATTTGCTTAAATAGAGTGTCGTCCATATTGGTCGAAATGTTCAAGAAGTTATTCGCCTCGCCAACGAGTTGCCTTCCCACTGTGATCAACTTGCCAGAATGTTACATTCAATTCTTTCCTCCTATTCAGAAGCATGCCAGACCGCATATCAAGGGATTGTTCAGCCCGATGTGGACGATAAGGCAGTAATTTCCTCGTCTTGGGTGAAGGATACCGATATTCAAGTAAGTTATCATGAGCATATTTTCTTACAGTGTACATGCACGATTCCTTTATTTTGTAATTGTTATTTCTCAGCGTCTTCTTAAATCGTTACCAAACTGGCTCAAGCTACTTAAGGCGAAAGAAGGTAGCAAAATGATCAACCAGAGCATGGATGAAAGTCCTGAGGATGTGCGGAATCAAAACCTTCGCGAGTCTGACCTACTTACAGGCCTGTTTTATGGAAAGACTGTGCAACGACATGAAATTATCACCGATACAAAGCAAATGAACCAATTAGCACATTTGCAGGAGAGTTTGGTACGCAAAGAAAAATAAATAGAATTAATTTCAACTAAACTTCAAATCTATAATTTATTTATTTTCTTCAGGAATGGTTTGCCAATCAGGTGGAAGCCGTCGCCAAAAATTTTGAACGCCTACCCACCAACAACTCTGACTCTGGGATGAAAGAACATATCGAAAATATTTATGAAATGGTGACATCCTTCAGCGATCTTGGAGACGTTTGCCTCCTCGTGTTACACTTGGAAGTTCGCGTCCACTGTTTCCACTTTTTGGTCCCGATGGCTCAAAATGGAGACTTTTCGCCGGGAGTGGACACACAAAATTCGGATCCCGAAGGTAAGTGTTTAAAAGTTAGTATTTAGATTTTCAAGTCCACTTGAACTTTGTTTTGTCCCTTACGGTACAGAAAATATTTTCATTTATGTATTTTTATTTCCAGTTAACAAATTGATTCGGGATTTGGCTCACATTCAAAACATATTGAGTGCTTCGTTACCACCGATTAAGAGCAAGGTATGCATGCAGTAAACAATACAAAGAATATTCAAATGAATTTCAATCTAATTCCCACCGTGTTGGCTCTGATTATTTGCAGTACGTGTTTGAAGGGATCGGCCAACTAATTTCGACCATCCTGATTGGCTGTGCTGAACATATCCAGAGAATTAACGACAACGGTGTTAAAAAGATGTGCAGAAATGTATTTGCGATTCAAAAGACCTTATCGGACATAACTAATCATCCTGAACAGTCGATGGATCATGCTAGGCAGTTTTATGAGTTATTCACGCTTTCCCCAGAGGTAACTATTCACACAAATGTTTATATAATTGAGTAATTATTTATCAAGTATGATACTTGACAAACTTTTAGGAACTTGTCAACGGAATCCTGGAGAAAGGCCCTCAGTTTAAAGAATTGGAATACATGAACGCTCTTAAGCTCCTCTTCAGGAGCAAACCTGGTCGCCAGAAAATGCACTCTCTCGACGACCATTTGAACCGACTATCAAATATTTTGGGAGATGTAGGAGTAGTGGTGTAAAAATCAGTAACCGACATAATCTTGCTATAGCTTATCTACACATTGTTTAGCCTAAAATGACGATACCAGTGGTGCTTAATATGAATTTCTTCTTGTTTTTACCATTTTAAAAGAAATTCTAAACTCAACTAAATTGAAACTTTAAAAGTTATGAAATGTATTCAGATAAGGATGTGTACAACACAATAAAGTTTTTTTTATTTAAACGTATTAAGTTATAACTGACGAGAATAAAGTTATCATACTTAAATGACCCAATTTTTGAATCAACGGTAGAAGCACGGCTTCCCTTCTTTTTATGAAATTATGAAAGGCATTCATATGAAATAGTTGAGATATTTATTGAATAAAGCCGATTTATGTAGGTATATTTTTTGTTTTAAGTAGAATATGAGATTTTCAGTTAAGAATAGTTAACTTAAGATATGCAGTTCCACATACCCAGTCGCATGTGTAGTTGATCTAGTTAAATCAGACTGTGAATTTGCATTGTATGAACCAAGGCCTTGGTTACACCCTTGCAAGGGTGTAAATACACCCCAACTTTAGATTTTAGAAGACCACACATATTGTGCTTTCTTATTAAGTATTATTATTTACAGAGCACTAATAATTCTGTACATACATATTTCTATGAGCATTTAGAAAACTCTGTTTTCCAGATAAATTAAAGGTTGACACCGTAAACAATATCAATCATATCCTTGCTCTTGTAGGAAATTGCGGTGTATATGTAAAGGCACCGGGAGGAATTTTACCGTTGGACGCCAAATCTTGCAACATTCCGGCACTAAATCGTCCCCGTTTTTCTAAACGTGTCGCTATTTTTCTCACATTGATTGGAGCAAGGATATCAAACTCACTCGAGACTTGGTGACGAGCTTGCAGTTGTTGACGTGGGTCTGGTCTAATCGAGACGTGACCGACTTGCTGATATTTTAGGTTTCTAGCGAGCTCTGCTACATCATAAGCTTCCGTCGCAGTGGTTGCAGTGGCGTCGTCACTCTCATTAGTTGTGAGACCACCAATATTGTCCTCACTTTCTGACGACGTCACCAGAACTGCATTTCTGGCCGGGATTATCCTTGTTTTAGCGACGGGGTCAAAGTTGACGACGTTTCTCGGTGGTTTCGTGACGTTTTTTAAGGACGTCTGGTTATCTACGATGAGATTATCTGTATCCAATCTTGTCGTCACTTCGTCTTCCCGATTTGTGTCATCATAATCATTGGACAAGATGAAGGCAGGTTTCTCTTTCCTCCCGACGTCCCTTCTGATTTCAGGGTTCTGGACATGGTGAAGTTCTGGTAGGTCGAGTTCCACATGGGTCGGATGGTACTTGTTCTGCTCGACATGCTGGAGTCGTATTATTTCCGGGGAAGATTCGGGTGGGGTGGGGAGGATGGGACCGGTGGGAAGTACGATGGGTTTTTGTACGAAGGATTCGTTAGAAGGGGACTTGACGATGTGACCCTTATTTCGCGAGGTCATTTCACGAGCCGACCTCTCCCCTTTGGGGACCACTTCTCTTTTTCTGGAAGCCGAGGTCGATTTTCTCCTATTTTCTGCTTCGCCCAGTTGAAGTTTAGAGCTTGATGTTTGCGTCGCTTCAGAAATTACGGGGGTGGTTGCCGCACTTCGATCTCGTGGCGTCGGTGGGGGAACGAATCGCTTTGACCTCGCGTACTTTAAACCGCTCTTGCTTTTCAAGAGTTTTGAGTTTGTCGGAGTAGAAGAGTAGTATGAACTTAACGCGGCTGATGTCATTTTTTGAGAGGGTGCCGCAGGAGGAAGTGGTGGAGGGATGGGAATCGTATGTGGTAAAAACAAGCTGTTATCCTCCCTATTACTAGCCAAGGGCGACGAAGATATCTTGCTATTCATACTTGCGTATTTCGTACTCACATTGGATAAACTCTTATCAGGCTTTATAACCCCACTGATATTGACTAAAGATTTGGAACTATTAGTCTTGAACGCTTTGTTATTTCTGTCCGTGTATGTTGACGAATAAGATTTCTTAACGATTGGTTTATACTCTACTTCGTCCGCGTATCTATCTTCTCCACCGATTTCTATCCTCGACGCAGATCTCTTGATGTCATCATTAAGCTCAAAAACTTGGTCGTCCACACCCTCGTCGGTCGTTGGTTCGTCTTCTTTTTCCAGAATTATTGTAACGCTATCGCCCCGTTTTTCTGGTAAATCCTTATTAATCATAATCCTCCTCCCTGTAAGTAAAACACTATTTAAAGACCAACCCCTAACCGGAAATCATGCCCAAAAGTCGAAGTTATTCTCATTATTACCCACTCTCATTATCACCATCGTCATCTTGACCTTGATCTTCCACCCTTTCGTAACTCGTCCTCCGTCCAACCCTATTTTTCCGATTGTTCCCACGACCACCCCGCTGACCGCCTAAACTCTCCTCCTCAAAATCAGGGTCCGGTCCGCAACACGAACACTTTGCGCAACACTTTCCCATCGCCGATTTGGGACAGCAGCACGGGATGAAGCAAACCAAAAGGAAAATAACTCCGAGAAAGGCCACGATTCCGGAAACAATCATGGACCACGGGTAATACTTGGCCCATAGGCGACCTCCAAATATGCCAGCTATCAGCTAGAGTTGTAATTAATTACTTGACTTAAATTAATTGCTTTTAACGACAATTAATTAGTTAAAGTACTTCAACTTTGCAGTCAAACTCCCCCACGGATCCTTCCCCCAAAGTAGAGTAGCCATCGTGACAGGGAAGACACCTTCCAGAGCCGGGCGTCGGTTGGAATGATCCAATCGGACAGAGAAAGCATTCTGACTGTCCGTTCGGACTAAAATGTCCAGCAGAACAGGGTACTAAGGACAAAAAATTGCATAATTCCCGATTTATGTATCATTGATTATTCTTTCAAAATCAATAATAAGAAATATTACGGCAGAGTTTGTGCGTTTCGTAAAATCCGGCTGGACAGGCAAGCATAAAATCGACATCGGTGTTACTTGCGGTGTAGACGGAGAGTTCTGGGCTTTCGGGAGACTCGATTTCGACTGCATAAAAAAATTACTTACTATTTTGATGAAAAAATCTATTCTCAAAAATTGTCAAAATTTCCTAAAATACCATTCAAACTGAACAACTTTTCCAACGAATCCCTCACAATTTGGAGAATCTTGGCATGCAATAATTCCACACAGAGGAGTGGACACGCTTCCGAGTATCCCGAAAACGCCATCATTCTCCTCTCCAATCCCATCGTCGAGACTGCCAGGTGAATCTGAACCTTTTTCCCTAGACGTGGATTCTGCTGTTCGAAATCCTCCCTGGAAAAGCAGAGAGCGGAGTGGTTCCGAACAGGGCAGAAGTAACAGACGTGCGTATGAACCCAGGAGATGAGGTGTGCGTTTATTAAGGCCAGTTCATCCAGGGAGCAGTGTGGAGCGTGGTATTCTGCCTGTGAGGTCAAATTGAGGTCATTAAGGTCATGTCATTAAGTAATTTGACAACAATTAAATCTTACGACAAACGCGAGCCACTGAATCGGCTCTGCCACAACGTCCAATTGTTGGTAGAAAATTTCATTTGGGGGAAGCGACCCATCATTTGGTGGTGGTCCTTGGAAGCTAGAACTTCCTCCTGGAACATGAGACACGTTACAAGTGTAGAGGTCGGAATCGCTGAGTTGGACGGCTTGGAAGGTGAGGTCACCGTTTCGAGGGTCCATTGCTACCTAATAAAATAATTACGAACTTAGGTCAGACAAGGACCACATTTAAAGATAATTTACTCACTTCCGGACTTGACACCACCCTCCCATCGGAATGACGCCAGGAGAAAACCTTTCTAAACGTGGGCGACCCTCCAGAGTCCATGACGTGATTGTAGGGACCTTGCCCACAATGGAGGGTGGATCGTCCTCCCAGTGGAATGTAGACGTGGTCCGCTCGTTCCGTCAGTTTAGGGAGGACGCTAAAAAATAAGTCGTTTGATGGGTAGCCAAGAGGGATTTGACGTTTTGTGCGGACATGTTTTCTAAATTTAGGAAAGGAAAGTAAAATTTAGGAATTTCTGTTTCGTAAGAACATTATCGGTGCTTATCTTACTGTTCTTGTTGGGGAACTATATTTTGATAACTACTCTTGTCATTATCATCCCAACACAAACTTCTTTTAACTCTTCCTTTCTGATTGTAATACAGATTTTGAGAGGGACGATCCGGTCCAAATTTTAAGCGAAGCGTTGCTGGAAGTGTGTGGTGTCGGATGCATTGATAATTGCTGATACGGACGGAGACCAGACCGGGTTCGGCGTAGTAGGCGTGGGGAGGAAGCATAGCCTACGGTTTCAACGTTAAGGTTAATAAGACATAAATTATGGTCAATATTTCGATGATTTTACCCACCATCTCATTAATATAGTCTAATGTGGCCATCATGTGACACACGCAGCGTTCAGGGTTTTGGCAGTCTGGACTTTGGGATGAGATATTTTCCAAAAACAGGGTAACAAATATGAGTAGAAATTGCGTCACGATTTTATAGTACATAGCTTCAGGTGGATATAGTTTTTGTGTTTAAGTGGGCAGTGTCGTAGACTGCAGTTTTGCAGAGTTATTCAAAATTACGAGAAAGTTTTAACATTTTGAGAAAAATTGTGCATGCAATTCTATGGAATCAGTCGTGTAATGCACGTGTTGCTATGATTTTGATTTTTATGGGGTCAGGATTTCCTTATTTTCAGAAATTGTACAGTAACTGGTTTTACTCTGATTACACTAATTTTCTCAAAATGAGCACTATTTACTCCCACTTTGGCAAACTTCAGTACCTCGCCTGGTTTGATTTCGTAAGTACATAAAACACCTTCAAAAACAGGAAACCCCAACCTAATTATTCTCAATTTCTTAAAAATTTTGCTTAGCTTACCTTCTTCATCATTATCGGCCCCACGATGCTCATCTTCCTCGCAGCGAACGGTCTCCACCCTCTCAACAAACCCAACACGGTCAATCTGACCTACACCAACACCACCATGACCGTGACCGTGCCCCTTCTGCTCTACAATGCCGACCGGAACATGACCCAAACTGAGTACAAGATCCTCGCCAGGGTTCGGAAGGGCTGCGGTCGTCTCTACATCCGGTCCTTCGTCGAGCAGTGGGACCGAGGCAAGCTTGTCCACTGGGCGTTCGGCTTGCAACTCTTTGCCATCGTGATCCTGCCCATTTCAGCCTTAACGTTTCTCATGTTAGTGCCCGGGGTAGGTAATTACTCTGGTAAATTAAGAATCAAACTGTCAAAATTTGACCATGTCCGATGTATCAATTTTCAAAAATTCCCATAATTTCAGCGCTCCCTCTTCGCCAAACTCGTCCCCCTGCTCCACCTCATCGTCCAACTCGTCTCCATGTCCTGTTGCCTGCTCGGAAACCACATTCTGGCCAAGTCTTCACTCTGCTTCCTTAACTACGTGTGGTCAATTCCGATCCAGATCGTTCTTCCCTCGCTCTCCGCTGTGATCTGTGGCACGTACAAGTTGTACGAGATCCGGATCATTGTCCTCTTCTGTAGAGATCATTTGACCGAATGGGCGCAAGAAGAGATGATTGGACGGAGTCCTTCGGCTGAAATTTCTCGCCTGATTTCGCAACTGGTCGAATTGAATCGTCCCAAAGTCAATGACGGATCGGAACATAGTGACGGCAGTGAAGGTGCGGTCGGAGGACCGGTCCGATTAGGTGGGGCAAATTGGAGAACGCCATCCTCCGAGGTTGACTACACCCCGGCGAGCAGTGTGGCTAGTATTGGTAGTAGCGTCGGTGTGACCCCGACGAGCAAGGTGACCGTGACTTTGACGGCGCCACGGTAAAGAATAAGAAATTACTGATTCACAAAGACTTGGAGATTTTATTCAATTATTTATTTAATAAAGCTATGATAATTTATAACTGATGAGAATAAAGTTATCTATGATTAAGCGATACATAACAAAACTAAACCGTATTTAATATTTTTGGTAATCTGGTGGTTCCCAGAATACTTTGAGTATACTTTCCACCACGTTCTCATCGACGAGGGAGGCTTTGAGCGGACGTGGCTTTTTCCTGAAGACGTACGATTCTTGGTAATTGCGGCGTCGTGAGGAGCATTTGTAAGAAGAGGAGTCGTCGTCGTGGTCATCATCGTCCGATTTGGAAGAGTATCTAAATATAAGAAAATTTTGAAAATTTTTGAAAATGTAGAAATTCATAAAATTGTCATACGTACAGGTAATTCGGGGGTGACGAACACTTTGTAGTTTTCTGAACTATGGCGTAAAGCACGGCTCGTTCTCGGTATTTTTTAGGCTGCGATTTCGCCGCACTACGAAAAAATATCAATTTTAGATTAAAATAAATTTTGAAATTATATAAAACTCCCAAATTCTCACTTACACAATATCCTTCTGATAGTAACCCCCACTCTGGTAGGGAGGATAAGTCGCTTGATAAGTATTTGGACTGTATCCACCACCACCATATTGATAACTACTACCAGCGTCATATCCACCCTTGTCTGGAACCAGGCAGAAAATGGCGGCCCCCTTGTCCGCAACGCAGGCGTCGTAACCGTCCACACCGACAAAACAGACGTCTTCATCCTGATACGACGATTTGTATCCGTATTCGTAGGACTGTGACGACTTTGGTTGTTCGTAACCAGAAGAGGGACACTTGACCTTCTTGACCTTGGCTCGTCGCTCGACCTTGGAGAGGTCGTAGTGGCTGACATGCTTTTTGGGGCAGTAGTCCTTCTTCTTTTGGTAAATTGGGTGCGTGTACGGTTTTTTGTACTTGTGATGACGCTCTGCTGGATAATGTTCTTCTTCTGTTTCTGCTTTAGGGGCAGGGTGCTAATAAAATACATTTCATATTTTCAATTATCATTGACTAAAGAAGTAGTGTAACATTTAGTACTAATTACATTTTGAAGTGAAGCCGCTAACGATCCGTACCAACCGACGACCCAGCATTCTGAATAAGCAGGGGGTGCGTAGCTCGGTTGGTAGCTATAGCTGGGCTGATAGCTTGGTGGAGAGTAGCTTGGCGCTTGATAACCGTACCCACCTTGTCCCGCTTCTCGTCGGTACCTCGGTTGGTAAGAGGGAGGAGAATAGCTGGGTTGATAGCTTGGCTGATATGAGGGCTCGTAAGTAGGGGCTTGATAAGCCGGTGGAGGGTAGCTTGGTTGATAAGCTGGTGGAGAGTAGCTTGGTTGATAAGCTGGTGGAGAGTAGCTTGGTTGATAAGCTGGTGGAGAGTAGCTTGGTTGATAAGCTGGTGGAGAGTAGCTTGGTTGATAAGCTGGTGGAGAGTAGCTTGGTTGATAGGCCGGGGGGTTGTAGGGTGGCTCGTAACTTGGCGCCTGGTAAACTGGTGGAGAGTAGCTTGGCTGATAAGCCGGTGGAGAGTAGCTTGGTTGCGAATAGCTTGGCTGATATGAAGGCTCGTAACTAGGAGCTGGATAAGCCGGTGGAGAATAGCTTGGCTGATAAGCAGGAGGGCTATAACTTGGTGGACTGTAAGCTGGTGGTGAATCATATTGTGGGTAGTAAGTTGGGAGGCAAATGTGTCGATGTGCAGGGTACTTATCGTTCACATTGTGCCCTGAATAAATCTCGAGCAGCACCATTTTCGAGCTGTCCCCACCACCTCCGCTGTATTCATAGGAAGTGCCCTCGCCATACGACGGCACTGGGTAAAAGTCAGAAATCTTTAGCTCGACGTTTTTGTATGCCTCGTACTCGTTGTAATTGGTGAGCACGTCCCAGTCGTCGATCCGCACGCGATACTTATCCGTCGACCCGTAGATGCAGGAGCGAGCCGTCAGAACGTACCGTTTGTGAATGATAACCCCTTGACAGACAAAATTCTTGAAGAGAAGAAAAACATGCATAATTTATTAACGACCAAACTTGATGATAGATGAGTGCTTATCATACATCGTAAACGTCCGTGATTTGCACGACCCATGAGTATTTGCCGAACGGTGCGATATCCTTCGAGGCTTGATAGAAGTCATCATTCGTGGCCGGAACGACCCCACAATGAATCGATACATTCAACTCCTTGTACTGCAAAATCATAAAAAAATATCCATACCAATATAAATTTGCACCAATTCGCAAATTTGCAAATATTCAATTGTCAATTACAGTAATGGCATCGTAATACTCTTTCGGCTTTTCATACTTATCCTGGTAACTTGGTTTCTGCGGATAGCTGACCGGGTAGTTGGGCTCATAGCTGGATTGATAAGCTGATTGATAGCTCGGTTCAGGCGAGTAACCCGAGTCATACGAGGGCTGATAAGGCTGATACGCTGGTGGAGAATAGCTTTGTGGCGGTGGAGGACCATAACCCGGTGATTCTTGGTTATACGAAGATTCATATGCTGGTTGATGATAACTTGAATAAACTCCTGAAAAAATATAGCAAATTTTATCAAAAAATATAAAACCCTATAAAAATTAAAATATATATTTCCTATTACCTCTCCCTGGTCCAGTTACGGCGACAGGGACTAGGCTGGACACGACTAGAACGACTGCAAGAATCCCGTTTTTCATCGACGACTCCCGTATCCTCCCCATTTTCGGGGCGTTAATTAACTAAAAACTATAGGAAACAATCAGTCTTTACTTCGGTGCGTGTCGAGTCCACCAAGTTCACCACAGACTGACTCCCACTTTATTCCAGTATTTAAATAAATGGTTGAATGGATGGGATTGCATTTCTTCGTCAATTTGTCTCATTAACTCGGGCACAATTATACAAATGGGGGTAAGACTTGATAGTCTAAATATGAAACACGTATGTAGGACCAATACTGGAACCACAGCCAAACAGAGGTTAACAGCCCCAAAGAAATGCACAATTAGGTACATTTTAAAATCTCAATTTCTCAGAACTCAGAATCATTACACGGAATACCAAGTTTTTCATAATCATGTCTTGCAGTCTTGGGTTTTACAGAAGATTTAATCAGATTTTTAAAAATCATACACCTATTTTTACGAAAGTCTTTCATAATTTTGAAAAAAATGGATGCAAAAAAGTGATTGTACACCCTTTGCAAAAATAATCTTTCAAAATCGCATTATTTCATCTTTCCCAAGGTATTACATTGCTACGTTTTCATAAAATACTTCATATCATCCGTTTCTGCATCCCATTTTGTTACCCATTTACCACTTATCTCCTTAATGCCTCCTTAATAACCGACCGAACCTCATCCTTATCAACGTCATATAATAAATATCATGTTACTACTTAATAATCACCTACTTATGTATCAAACGATAAGATAATAAAAGTACGAAAAAAACTGCACGTCTTTATAAATATCTATCTACCTACCTCGTCTCCCACACTCTCTTCATTTCTTTCTCACCAATTATATAAAATTGGAAATTAATTGAAATTGAAAGCATAGAAAATCATTGATTTGGATAAATTTATTAAATTTTATGGCTTCTCTTCTACTTACCAAGCCCATCCAACCAATCACCACAACAAGAAGTTAATCGTGTAGCACGTGGAACCCCAATTAAAAAATTCGCTATTTTATACCAACAATCATTTTACCTTATCGGACGGAGAGACGATATCATCCATCCATTTATTTGTTTACTTTAGTTCTCAATCTGCTGCACAAATTCGATATTCATTAATTCCTAATCTTTCCCCGGAATAAGGAAGGAGCAGAAAAAAAGAACAACTTTTGACTCAATTCCAACAAATCTTATCATGATTTGAATAATGTAAGTATTTATATGCATTTCTTGCTGCATATTCAGCATCCATCCATCCATACAAGTTCAAGTCCTTGTTGTTTCTTATGCCGTTTCTTGTAACAACTCAACTTTGTACGAGATGAAGAAGAAGAACGCTTCGGTGATCACCATAATATTAAATTTCCATCCTATGTATACTCAAAATATCAATCTGTTACTAACTTTTGGCCAATTTCATGCTACACTTCTCCCAAATAATAACGACCTAACCATGTAAACGAACCACTCTCCACCAACTAGCAGTCAAGACGAGTACGTATGTACGTACATCTTAATAATGAAATTGAAAGGAAATTTTGCACAAAAAAAATTAAATAATTCGTACAATTGATTATTGTTACGAGTAGGCATACATATTTTGAATTAATGCCGTCTATCTACAGTGGCCGCGGAAGCCGTGGGGACATTAACATTGTAGGATATGGGAGGGACGGGTTTATATAAGATGGGGAGATGATGGGGGCATCGAACAACCGTGGGGACATTGTCCCTCTGTCCCCTCAAGCATCCGCGGCCACTGGTCTACAGTGAGTTTGGCTAGTACAGTAGGTAGTGTAATGCTTGATGAATTGTTGTTTTATTTTGTTATGTCCGCTTGCCGATGCCGATACGATTCAGATAACAAGTTATCAAGTGTGACTTACTGCTTTACTAACGCGCTGTATTATTGCTTGGGTGGTATTTTTACACTGTAATGAATAGGTTTTAAAAATAAGGTGTGCAGACATAGATATAGATTCATACGCGTAAAATTTGGTCAATAATAGGTAGTAAATATGTAATGGTAGTGCATGCATGGTAGTAAAAATGAACAAAGTATATGTCCAACCAACTAATGATAAACTCTCACATGCACACGCTACAGCCATATTTTTAACTAATAACCACTTAATACTGAACATTTTCATATCCCTATTTTGATTTTGCTAATTGGTAATTTCGTTGTTTTCGTCATGGGATGAGTGAGTGTGAGAGGTACTTATTTTTTAAGGGGAACTACCTTAAAATAGTCTGATGAATTGTATTAAGAATAGAGCAGCATTTTTAAAAAGTGCACAAAACTTACGAGTAGACACACTTTTGCAAATTCGAGGCGTCAGTTCTCAAGGAACATGGGTGCGAAATGGACTCGAGTTAATAAAAGTGTTCAAATGCCGAATAAAGTAAATAGAGGGATGATAATTACCCTTTGTCGAGTCTCGTTTAATTGAATCATTACGATTTCTCGAAAATATTGTTAAGGCGTCGTAGGAAATTAAATTTTAATAATAACGAAATTGAGAGTCGTGTGGCGTGTACATATTTTACTCTTTTCGACGACGAAATTAATTTTGTTGGGTGATATTTTCAAATAAATTGTAAAAATGGTAAGATTCGAAATTTTTTGCATACAAATTTTTATTTTTCTTCTTAAAGTGTCAAATTAAATATACGAAATTAAATTTGCACCATATTTTTGCAGGGAGTCTCATCCCACCGCCGCGATCGTCACCTCTGCACACTTATACTTGTGTCCATCTGGGGGTTATCATCCGCCGTAATTTTGCCCACTTATCTCGGTACCGTTTCTCTCAAGGGAAGTTTGGGCCTCGGACTTCGACCCCGAGAAAAAGGTGAACACGGGGGTCCCGTTCTCTCGACGCATTTCGGCAAAGGGTTCAATCACGCATCTCACAGTGGGAGTGGGGGTGGTGGTGGATTGCCCTCGTCGTCTCCCATTTTGAAGCCAAAACCTGGCACTTTCGTGCACAGTTGTTGCAAAGGAAAGTTGAAGCTGTTCGGCCAGAATATCTTTGGGTATGGGTCCTTCAAAGGGCAGTACACCAATGGAAAAACTGGAGGTGGAGGTGGTGGTGGTGGGTCATACTCACCTGGCAAGGTCAACAATTACCACCAGCTCCACAACGGACAAGACTCTTCCGGAGGAAGTGGTGGGGGTGGAGGGGTTGGTGTAGTTTCAAATAATCTTATTGGTCATGGTCACAATAATGACGGGGACGATCAGGGTGACCACGACCATCCCATCAAGTTCAAGAGTTACACTGCTGGGAGCTACAAGGGGGGAAGGAAGTATCCTAAACCGGTCGGAGTCTCGTCGAACGAGGGGGACGAAGGTTATCACAAGTTCGGTGGGTATAACAAGTACAAGGGAGGATTTCCGAGTTATGAGGGGGGAAATGATGACCCTCCCTTTTGGGGGAGTGGGAACAAAGGAAGCGGAAACAAGGGAGGAAAACCTATCGTGATTGATGGGTCTGGAAATAATCATCATAATGAGGAAGAATATAATACTTATCAACACGGACCACCACCCACTTCGTCGCATGACAGTTATCCACCACCTTCGTCGCACGACAGTTATCCACCACCACCTCAAAGTAGCAGCGGTGGCAAGGACGGACCACCAAGTTATCATTACGACGAGGATAACAACAACGATAATGGTGGTGGTAGTGGTGGTTATCATCCATCATCTCCCTTCATCCCACCCCAATTTACGCAACTATCTAGCAGTGGTGGAGAAGGAGGAGGTTATCATAATCACCCCTCCTCATCGTACAGCAATTCGGTTTACGATGATGACGATAAGCCACAATCATCACCATCTTCTTCCTCTTATCCGACCCCTCCATCAGCGTCATCAAGCTACAAAAAGAATCAGGCGTACGACACGCCATCATCCTCATCCTATTTCACTGGGAAAGATTACCTGTCAATAAATCGACGCCCTTCTAGCGGGAATTATAGGTCACCTCCTCCTCCCATCGAAGTTATCGACCACCACCACCCTTACCCATCCTCCGGTCCGTCGGAAAACCGCTTCTTAAATGACGCCCCTCCTCCCAACCGTGGCGAAAACACAAATTATCCAACTTTCCCATCATCTCCGCCATCATATCTTCCTAAAAATTCCCCATCGCTACGAAACTTGGGGTTCACCACGGCCCCACAATTTCGCCCATTTCCTAAAATGGATCACCACCCCCTTGCCATGATTCCCATAGCGGATCAGAGCTTATGGATGCCAGTTACTGGTCCTCGTTTAGACGACCCTTCCCCCTCCCCAGCACCACCACCACTATTTAAACCGCTGAAACAGCTCAAGAAGGACGTCAAGTACCGGGTCTACGAGTACGGAAAGAATGAAGTGATCGTCATCGACGGTGGGTTACAAGCCCATGAAAAAGACATGGTTCGTGCCCACGTTTATGCGAAGGATGGAGGAAAATTGTTGAGAACGATTGAAATCAAGGATGCTGTTGACAATGAGAAAACCGTGGCAAGTTCGAGGTCGGATGTCACATCACTTTTAGATGATGATGACGACATGCCTCTGATTTTGCAACTTCCGTCGACCCCGACAGCCCCCACGAGCATGGCGACGAGTGCGAGCACCACACCCACGACGACTACCACCACTACAACGACGTCCACGACGACGACCCCTCCCCCGACGACGACACTCGTCGTCACAAGTAATGATAACTCCACAGAGCTTCCCAATAATTCAGTATAATTAATTAAATATACTCAATTAAATCAGCAATTTTTTTATATTTTTAGCAGTAATATTTTGTTATTTTCCAGTTTTGTTTGTTAATTTGTTTTGGTCCTTGTTGCTTATTTTATAAACTAAATAAGAGAGTTGTATTAAAATTAGGTGATAATTTTGCTGTCTATGAATCTGCACAAATTAAATGCAATTTTAATAATAAATCCTTTGTTTTTAAAATAATACCCTTTTTCTTAGTGAGGCAAAATACTTATTAATAGGAAAGTTGTCTTATTACGTGTGGTGTAAAGAGAAATACGGTAAACATCACATCTGTCATTCTTCTTAAAAAAAGCATATGTCAATAATAATTCGAAAACCCGTACTCTCAAAACAATCTGTCATCGCATTTGTACTTATGTGGTTAAGTTTCTTCTTCTTCTTGATTAAACAATTCCTTTGTCTTGTCCACACACTTATAGTAGAAATTCGTATAAGAACAAAATGCAAAAACTTTCTGGCACAGTTTTTTTTTCCTGTGGCAAATTATCTATTTACATTTCAATAAAAAAAATGAGAAACAAAAAAAAATCATTTTCAAATTCAATACCAAACCGCAACACAAATAAATACCTGTAACATTTCATTAAATTGCAAAATCTAGTCAGGGTAAATTACTAAGAAAATTAGCAAGATTATTGAATAACTCTCGTTATCTCGGGACATGTTAAATCACCAGACTGAAAGAAAACGAAAGTAACCTATCTCACTTAAAATTATGCAAAAATTTTGAATGCATTTTAATTCAATCTTAACGACTCTAATAATAATAATAACTATTTCAATTCTCAATCATTCATAATCCATTAATTCAAAATTGTTGTTATAAATAATTTCCTTACATAAAAACACCTTCATTTATTCATTTCTCGCCAAATTAATGGTGGATTTGATAACGGCAAAATCCCTCAAAAAATTAGCACTATTCACTAATTTAGATATGTATCTCGACTCCTGTTATAAAATCTTGGCATGCATAATTTCATGTATTCACATGCATTATCTGTGCGTAAATCTAAAATCGTACAAAATGATACTTGTTTCACTACACTACGCTCTCCACCACCGCAAATAATGCATGCATATCATATCATACTTATCATTTATGTATGCATGCACATTAATCTTTATTTCGACAGAATACGGAAATTCCGTATTCATATTTGAAATATTTACACTTTTTTTTTCATTCAAAAAATTTATTAACATAATGATACAGATAAAAGTCTATGGGATTGAATTTAGCGATGAGATTGCAGTTTACTTTGTTCCATAAAGTTGAATACGATTCGAAGTGGTCGCTTTCTAGAAGAGAGGAGGAGATCGATTTGACAGATGTTACATGCATTAATTTTCCTAAAGAGAATTACCTCCGACTAAAAATAAGAAGAATAATTAAATTGGGTGCAGTACGAATAAGTAATCACTTTGTGCCATATGCATTTTACTAAATCTTGATTTAAGCAGGGAAAAAAAGATGGAAATTAAGAATCACAATTTCCGGTTGAGAATACAGTACACTACACGAATCTCAAAAATATGCTTAATTGGACGCAAATCTGGCTACATTTTCATTAAAAAAAACGGACACAATTAACGCTTTACGACATGACATGAGTCACATTTGTGATGATGAATGTTCATCTATTCTCTTTTTTGTTGTGAGTGATGAATTCATTATTATCACAAATCTATGGGGTACCCTCCTCGTCATGACAGGTAAGTATATGCATATCATTCGATAATCCTTAGATCATGGCGACTATTTTTCTTCTTACGGTGATGCCTTGCCGAGGACAATATTGGCATAAACAAGCTCATGTAGCAGAAAGAAAGGGAAATCTGCTTCTGCGGTTTGGTTGCTTACTTGCTTCCCTTCTGAAAATTGAATTCATCTCTTTATGTACTTACGTATTTACTACTAAGGCACGTTGTTGACCAAGGTTTTGTTCTCCTGACGAGGAGGAGGAGGAGGAAGGAGGAAGAAAGTAAAAGTGACACGATGATAACAAAAAAGTCTAAAAAGATGCATCGTTTACTTGACATGGATCAGTCGGGAGAAAAACGTCAAGTGGTCAACAGCACGCTTTTGGGCGCAACGAATCTGTATTTATTCACGACACGAGAAGAATTTTTTTGGTTTGTGGTTAGTTATCGATTATTATTATCATTATTATTATTTGCAAGTATGCAAACGGTTTAAAGTGAGGTAGGGACGAAAGGAAGAAGGATGGATGTTTCGAAGCTGGTAAGTTTTAAATCATTTTTAATGATAAGTACCCAACTAATTAGTTAGTTTTTCTTGTACAGTTAGCGTTTGCCACCCTTATCGCGATTTACAACACGACTGGCACTTCGGGTGGGAAGGGGTGGGGAAAACATCACCATAAATACCCTGTTAAACCCCTCTTCGGCGTGGGCGTGGGGTACAAAAAGGTCGTCTCGTATAAACCCGTCCTCGTCTTTCAGAAGCATAAACATATCAAGTTAAAGAAACCGATAGGTTGGGGATGGGCGTGGGGGTGGAGGCCGCAGCATCATCACGGAGGTCATCACGGAGGTGGTCATCAGAGGGGTCATAGCGGAGGAGGGTGGGGAGGGGGACATAAGCATCAAGTCGGTAAGTGTAAGTCGTGATATCGTACAACTATAACGTTTTTTTGTTATTTTTTCGGTAAAAAATGTCTACTTTGTTTTTTTAGATCATCACCACTACCACCACAACGATAATGGGTGGGGTTGGGACAATGGAAACGAAGGGAGTAGCGTGGGATCTGGTGGGTGGGGATGGGGGGACCGTGGTGGCGGTGGCGACGACGAGCATGAAGACTACGGTGGATGGGAAAGTAATCTTAAGGCGAATTGGAGCAGTCCGACGGCACCGAATAATAATAATGGAAAAATGGAAGATCAAATGCCCGGATATTCCGAGAATGGGTCACGACCACAAGGAAAGGAGGCAGACTTTCACCACGGAGAGAACAATAAGGGACACACTTCTTCAGAAGAACAAGATAAGAACGCCAACAATGGGGAGGAAATTCTTTACCAGAATCCGCCCCCACCTCCACCACAACCACAACAAAATCAAAATCAGTGGGGAGGTTATAGAAATTATGCCAACTTTAATATGGGACATCCCATCAGTCCTCCAGTATTTATAGTTCCCAATAAGAAAAATAGGAAACTTAAGAGGGGAGTGTCAGTCCCGATCGTACCATTTTTACCATTTCCGGGAGGAAATTTACAACAGTTTCAGCACAATAGTAGAGTGAGACAGTTTTAATAAAGAGAGGTATCCAATATATATTTGCATAAGTAACGCTTGATTGTATTCAATGAGAATATAGAGAATAATAAATATTTAACTTTGACCTGAATTTATATAAGAATTAATTTTGCATAAAGATAAGTGCTGCTTAACTAATTTAGTAAATAATTTGACTAGCACCATATTACTTAAATTGTGGATAATATCACTTCTTGACAACTTCGCCTCCATTCGATAACCAGTCCAAAATTCCGTCATAAACCCTTTTAAAGCAATTTAAAAGTTTGATTAAAATCTTGTTAAATAGAAATTTTTTCGAAATCCTTACCTGACATTTTGATACCCAGCCAGATTAAGTACGACGGCCGCTTTCATCGCCCGCACGCCAGCTTTACAGTGAATGATCAAATTCAAATTCTTCTGTGACGGTAGAGGCTTATCGAAACCGTACAATTTTCTGAAATTCGCCTCATCCAGGTGAAACGCTGATTCTACCTCGCCCACTAATTGTTAAAATGACAATGCACTTATCAAATTGATAATCCGTAATCAATTTTGCATGCATAGTAGATTTTATTTTATTACATGGAATGTTGTATGATTCCTTAATTTTTCCATCTGAACTTAATTCACCCTTTTCTCGGACATCGATAAGCACTGTGTTTTTCTTATCAAGCTCATCTTTTACTTGGGAAAACGTCAATTGTGGAATTTCTATAATGTTATCATTTAACGTACATATTTAATTAAGATTTAAAGGGTTCATTCAACTTACGAGGAATATCCTTTGCGGAAACCAAATATCGTCGAAGAACTGTCCATTCGCTCGTCACTTTAAAAAATGATCGGATCATTTTAATTAATTATAAGTTGATGATTTATTTAATTATTTTGTCTCTTGCTTTGATTTGCAACTTTCTCAGCTGGCGAGTCGGTTGAGTTTGATGCCGGTTCTCATTTTTTTCTCATATGCATTTAACCAGAGTTTGTCTTGCATTTGCATGTGAAGTGAATTCATGGTGGTTCGACCTCGACTTATCGACGATAAGTTGTCGTTGACAAAAAATTGGGGATGATTTTTAGAGTTTGTCTGGCATTTGCATGTGAATTCATGGTAGTTCGACCTTGACTTATCGACGATAAGTTATCGTTGACAAAAAATTGGGGATGATTTTTACTCTGAAAATTTGTGTGATAAAATTTATTTTGTAAAGCAGGTAAAATTAAAATTGAGACAATTGTTATATCCCCCGTCCTTTCGAATGGATGTCATGTAGGCGTCATAACTCTTTGAAAAACGTGACGGAACCAGCATTCGACCAAATCCTTCCGTATAGTCGAACAATCCAGGCGACATTTCTCTCAGGCCGCGTGACCACGACCCCATCTCACAAGCAATCCGCTCCTGACAACTCTCATCCTCAAAGGCACGCCCCACGAGCTCCATGAAGGGTTTCGCCCCCTCGGCGTACAGCGTCTGGAGGTTGAAATAAGTGTGCTTCCGGTTGTTGAGGGATCGCTCCTCTCTCAACTGCGGATAAAATATGGCAATATGTTTTTTGACAAATATGCAAATTTTTAAAAGAAAATACCTGCACATTTGGGGTTAGTTTGAACTCAATGGAGGCCATTACGATGTACATGATAACGAAGATCGGTCCACCAATGGCTATAAAAATGAGTGGGAGGAGAACATAATCTATGGCACCTTGGATTGGGGCTGGAGTTGTGTCGTCGTCGTCGCCATCGGATAAGCCACCATCGTCGCCAGAATTTCCCGGTAGGTATGAATCGCCACGACTGAGTCGACCGGATTCTTTAATGTTGTAGACCTGGCTGAAAAATTATTTACTTCAAGTGTTAGCTTAATTGGTTAGTTAATTATGTATTGTATTAGTATATACCCATTGAGTCGAAGGGTTGTGTCCTTTGTGTATTCTGGATCTGGGCCGTGGGTGACCGGACCGATAAGGGCGGCTGGGTACAAGGCCCCATCGATTCGATATAAAGTCGGAGTCTGCGTCGTACTGCTGGTCGGTTCGCTAATGTACCAGGATGGATAAGCAGTTATCCCTTCGACTATAACGTCTGACCTGAGGGAAACCTTGTGTTCAGAAGAAACAATTAACGGGACGAGCAGAGTTAGGAATACTGAGAAAATTGGGGGATTCATTTTTTGCTAATTGAAAATGGCAGTCAAACGTGAGTGCTCAATTTCAAATCTGCTAAAATCAGAAAACATCATCATTGACAATTATACTCCCGTTATTCCAAAAATGGAAAATTAAAGCAAATGACGCTATGTTTTAAGATGAATTTCAGACGCTGCTCTCAATTTAGCATTTTCATGGAACTTCCATTTCCATTTAAAATTTTCATGAGGGCAAAAACGCATCTGCAATTCGTTGTCTTTTCCGATGTTGCATACCTGAGACGCTACACGAGGTGACTGTACTTTGCATTCTTACCTGTTAATAACTCACAAATTGCATGCAGCACAAAAAATTTGGTGTCTGATAATGTATAACAAGTTTTTTTTGCTACAAGTCTACAACAAGTGAAGAACCACCACCAAACCTTTGTAAAATCTCTTCCCTGCTATTTTTTTTATGGTTGGTGGAAGTTATTGCACTCGCAGTGCTATTTTACTATGCAGATCATCACGGTAAAAAAATACGACGCTATTTCTTTAACTAACAACATTCTAATAGAACACGACGAGGAAAAGCATAGGTAAGAATATCGCCAGATTTGTATTAATGACGACAATTCAAAATCAGAGAAGCTCTCGACCCCGTACAAACGGTGGATAGACAGAGTTCTAAAAGTTAGCAGAAAAAAATTCGCAGTCTAATTTAGGTCGGTGGCCTACTTTTTGAATTATTCTCGTCTTATTTAACCAGCATGAATTTGGTAGGTATGATTTTGTAAATAGTAAACAACTTGGCATGACTTTGTAATGTGTACATATCAGATTTTTATTCGTTTTGCCAAACACAAATATTTTACAAGTCTGCTTATCATTAGTTTTCACTTACTCGGATTGAAACTTATCTTTAAGAAAATACGAAATTTTACATATTTGTTATGAAATCTCGTAGATCAATGATCTAAGATCATGTAATAGTTATGCCTTTGAGCATGAAATTTACACAACGAATCAACTAAATAGTTAAATACTACAAAAAATAAGCATGCATACATTTGACGTACTTAATTAAATTAGTAAAATCACAATTCAAAAAAATTGCCAAGTTTTGAAAGTGTTCCGTCATTTCAAAATTCTCTATGAAAAACTTTGTAAGGAATGTATTTTTACATAGTTTACAAGTATAAGCGGTTTTTTTCACGTTTATGCGGTTTCTGCTGCATAAATAAAACACAGCACACACAGCTGAGGAGAGTGATTTATTATAATAAATAAAATTGAAGATTAAAAATTAACTATTTTCTCGTGTACACAATGAACCACCGCATGATAAGCGATCTCCCCCCTGGAATTGCGACAGTGGGTGTGCCCGTCGCCGGGGTCGGAGTAATGCAGACACTTATGTGGCCCGAATTTCCAAACAATACAAAAGAAGCCATTCAGCAAATTGGTAATAATGAATTTTTTCATACTAAAAATAAGTTAAATTTGCGATTAATTTGAAAATCTTGTATATTCAGATCAGATGTATTACTCATTAAAAGCACAGAAAAGGAAATGGACCCCAGAAGGAGTAATTGATATAGTAAACAAACTGATATTCAACCTTTTAAGTAGTCGAGACCTTAAAAATACGGTGAGTTTTGATTGGATTGATAGTTGCGTAGTTTTCAGTTAAACTTAAAGTGTGACTATCTTATCTTGCTACGCAGAGACTGACAACCGTTCAAAAGTTGGGACTGGCAGAAATCATATTGAGTCATTTGACCTCTTGTCGAAACGATGTAGATCGCCAGGAACTGTTCAATACTTATTTTTACACTTCAAATTACTACAGTTAGTTAATAATTCATTATATTATTGGTAGCATGCTTATTTTAATATTTTGTCGAATAATACTTTCAGATGGCGACGTTCCCCTTTTAATTCTTAGCTCAGTGACCTCACTCGCCATGGCGTTTCGTAATGAGTATGTCCTTCAATGTATTGGATTCTGGGTCATGGTAAATTTTCATTAATTTCATGGCAGACAATTTTTCATAATCAAAATTTTATAATCTAAGATGTATATTTTCAATTTTTCAAGAATGCTGGACTTGACAACCCTGCCGTGTTATATCTTGCTGGCGACGTGACAAAAGATTTAGTGACGGATGAGAATCCTGAAAAATATGACGATTTACCGAAAAAAGCTCCACTTTTTACGGCCGCGATGCTCATTGCGATTGGAAAAAGTTTCAGAAATACTGGTGAGTATTTCATATGTATTTTTCATTAGAAACGAGCTAGAATTATTACATACCATTGAGAATGATCATTGTCTATCTACCATTCTACGTTGAATATTACTCAGTGTTTGATATGCAAAACCTAAGGCTTTGGCTTGAGATGAATTCGGAAGAATTTGTGTTACATAAGAGTTCAGTAATCTGAATATTCGTTTGGTTAACACGTTACCTTTAAGTGCAGCGTATATATTTATAAGTATGTTGCACTCATCATGTGTTACATTATTGTATACATGCTTTTATGCTGAAGAAATTGGGTTACAAAATTCCTAAGTATTTTCCTTTATTTCTTCTATTTACAGCTCCACCTAAACGATTAATTACCCAAATAACGAGATGGATCGAAAGTACACCAGCAGTTTGCTTCATTCCCCCACTTTCAGCTATATTTGGTACAACGGAAATTAGAAAAATTGACATGAACGATGTGAGTTTTGTTACTAATTTGATGTTATTATTGTTCATCAGAAATGTTTAAATGGGTCATTAACAGCGAAGATGACGAATCCAGATTGCATTACGCTTTGATTTCTGCGATAGAACGGGGTGGAAAAGGGGCACAGTTGCAGGTACACTCTAGCCATAATTATAAATTAACCCTTCAGCATTTCCGGTTTTCATTACTCGCATATTGCTCTATTTTCTAGGTTATTCCTCCAGTGATGACCTTGATTCAAGATTTGAGAGTTAAACGAGAAAAGATCTTAGCTGCCGGGTCGTCAGCATCGCTCACATCTTTCCACCAGATCGACATTGCGCTGGACAGACTTTTCCAAGTTATTCAAATGTTGATAGCTTCAGAGTGTCTGGATAGGAATGAGATACGTAAGTGTGCATGGCTTTCTTAATTCTAATCGAGTAGTCAGAGACTGTTAAACTCCGACTAAATCATCTACCTTCAAGTTTTCATACAAAATTATTATCAACTTCTCACCGATAGTTAAATGACTCGGTCTGCATAGTAGAGTTAGTTGAGGCAAAGTCTGTACATGATGATTTCATTTCTTTTGAATGGTTGAGTCATAACTGATTCTGTAGTTGTAATGGTCTTGATTATTTGATCTGATTTATTTACAGATCCAATTTTCGAATCCACTGAAGAAGCACGACTTCCTCTCACCCCTTTTTACGAAATTATGAAAGGCATTCATATGAAATAGTTGAGATATTTGTTAAATAAAGCCAATTTATGTATATTTTTTGTTTTAAGTAGAATATGACATTGAAGCTCAATTTTGGGACTGTTGACCTCTGTGATCAGTTTCCAGTCAAGAATAGTTAACTAAAGATATGTAGCTCCATACACCCAGTCACATACCTAATCTAGTTAAATCAGACTGTCGACTTTGCATTTGCATTGTCTCTCAGTCCTGCATAAGCGTCCACCTTAATGAACCAAGGGTATAAATACAACCCAAATTTGGAAGGCCACTCTCAGTCAGTCTGGTGAATCTGGTCTGCTCGACGCGCACCGATATCCGAACGTAAGGACTGAGCCGAAGATAGTTTCCGTTTAGTTTTTAGTTTACTCCATCAACGCCCCGAAAATGGGGAGGATACGGGAGTCGTCGACGCAAAACAGGCTGCTTGCTGCCGTCCTAGTCGTGTCCAGCCTAGTCCCTGCTGCCGTAACTGGACCTGTGATGGGTAAGGAAACTTACGGTTATTTTTCTACGAGGTTTCAGATTTTGGAATTTTCCGTGTTTCTTATTTTTGGTTTTGAAATTCGACACCAATTTTGTTTTAATTACTGTTTTAGGAGCGCAATCCAGTTATTACCAACCACCCGCATACGAGCCTACATACCAGCCGTCGTATGAACCGGCGTACTCAGCTCCGAGCTATGAGCCCAGTTACACCCCCTCCTACCAGCCTCCTAGTTATGAGCCAAGCTATTCTCCACCAGCTTACCAACCCAGCTATAGCCCTGCTCCATCTTATCAGCCGAGCTACAGTCCTCCAGCGTACAGCCCAGCGCCAACATACTACAGCCCCCCAAGTTACAGTCCACCATCGTATCAGGCGCCAAGTTATGAGCCAAGCTACAGCCCCCCGGTTTATCAACCAAGCTATTCCCCACCAGCTTATCAGCCCTCTTACGAGCCGAGCTATACGCCTCCTTCATACGAACCGAGCTATCAGCCCTCTTATCAACCAAGCTATCAGCCGTCTTACCAACCAAGCTATGAGCCTAGCTACCCGGTCAGCTACCCTACACCCAGCTATTCTCCACCGAGTTATCAGCCAAGTTATCAACCCAGCTACAGCTACCAACCATCTTATTCTCCCAAGCCAACGTACTACCAAGAGTACGATAATTACGATGCCATCACTGTAAGTGATAACTGGACATTTTAAAAATATTTATTTTGTTAGTCTGGCTTGCTAATTTATATTGGGGTCGATATTTTTTGCGATTTTGCAGTACAAGGAGTTGAATGTATCGATTCATTGCGGGGTCGTTCCGGCCACGAATGATGACTTCTATCAAGCCTCGAAGGATATCGCACCGTTCGGCAAATACCCATGGGTGGTTCAAATCACGGATGAATACAATGTAATAAATATTTCATAATTGTCATGCTCGTTTTTTTACTTGCCAAAGATTGTTAAAGTATTAATTTGTGATGATTATATCTGATTCCAGAACTTTGTCTGTCAAGGGGTCAAAATTCACAAATCATTCGTTCTCACGGATCGCTCCTGCATCTACGGGTCGACGGATAAATATCGCGTTCGGATCGACGACTGGGATGTGCTCTCCAACTACAACGAGTACGAGCCCTACAGAAACACTGAGTTTAGGATCTGCGACTCCTTCCCGGTGTCATATGATTACGCATCATCCTCGTACAGCTATGGCGGCTCGGACTCCAAACTACTTGTTCTCCAGATTAATCAAGGAAACCTTATCAACGACAAGTACCCTGCACATAGACACATTTGTCTTCCAACCTACTACCAACAATACTATTCACCACCAGCTTACAGTCCACCAAGTTATAGCCCTCCTGCTTATCAACCAAGCTACTCTCCACCAGCTTATCAACCTCCTAGTTATGAGCCTTCATATCAGCCAAGCTATCAGCCCAGCTATTCTCCTCCCTCTTACCAACCGAGGTACCGACGACAAGCGGGACAAGGTGGGTACGGTTACCAACCGCCAAGCTACACTCCAAGCTACTCCCCACCAAGCTACTCCCCACCAAGCTACACTCCAAGCTACTCTCCACCAAGCTATCAGCCCAGCTATAGCTACCAACCGAGCTATGCACCCCCTGCTTATTCGGAATGTTGGGTCGTCGGATGGTACGGATCACAGGCTACTCAACTTCAAAATGTAAGCAACTCAATTTCACTGTGCGAATTTCCAAACTGAATACGAAATTGCCTCAATTTTAACTGGGTTTCTTTCATTATGTTACAGCATCCCCCTGCAACTGAACAACAAGAATCTTCCTACCCTGCCCAGCAATACGGAGGATACGGGTACCAACCACCAAGCTATACGCCAGCCTACCAGAAACCCCAGTACTACCAGGAATACTACGGCTACTATGACCAATCCAAGGTCGAGCGACGCGCCAAGGTCAAGGAGATCAAGTGCCCATCATACGGTTATGGCTACCAACAACCAAAGTCACAGTCCTACGGATACGGGTACAAGTCATATCAGGATGAAGACGTCTGCTTCGTCGGTGTGGACGGTTACGATGCCTGCGTTGCTGACAAGGGGGCTGCTATCTTCTGCCTGGTTCCCGAGAAATACGGATACGAAGCTGGGTACAACAATTACGAAAGTTACCAGTCTTCTTATGGCTATGGGTACAGTCCAAATACATACTATGCGACTTATCCTGGCTATCAGAGCAGTTATTACCAGAAGGATATTACGTAAGTGGAGATAGATTTTCTAAAATGTGTTATTAAAGTCAACTCAACGTTTATTATATTTTAATGTGTTTTTTTTGCAGCGCCAACCAAGCTCAGCCCAAACAGTACCGTCAACGCGCAGTACTGTACGCCATCGTCCACAAAGCAACGACCTGCTCCAAATATCCTGAACCCTCGTACGGCTATGGCTATCAGAAACAAGACTACCAATCCAATCCGATAACGGCGACCAAGGTATCGTACCAGGTGGTGGATGCGATTGAAGATCTGTTCTGGCAAAATGTGATTGACGAGTCCTGCCCTGCGCCCAAGACTTACTATCCTGAGCCCAATGTGCAGTACCAAGCCAGTTATCAACCAGCTTATCAGCCACCAAGCTATCAACCAAGTTACCAACCATCTTATCAGCCACCAAGCTATCAACCAGCTTATCAGCCACCTAGCTACGAACCAAGCTACCAGCCTGCGTACCAGCCCAGCTACTCTCCACCAGCTTACCAGCCGCCAAGTTACGAGCCATCCTACAGCCCCCCGGCTTATCAACCAAGCTACTCTCCACCAGCTTACCAGGCGCCAAACTATGAGCCAAGCTACAGCCCTCCAGCTTATCAACCAAGCTACTCTCCACCAGCTTATCAACCGAGTTATAGTCCACCATCGTACCAGCCGCTGAGCTACGAGCCTACCTATCAGCCAAGCTATCAGCCCAGCTACTCACCACCAGCTTATCAACCTAGCTATGAACCAAGCTACTCACCACCAGCTTATCAACCAAGCTACTCACCACCGGCTTATCAACCAAGCTACCAACCTCCAGCCTACGAGCCCCCACCATACTCTGGTTAATATTTACCTGATTAATTAGGTTTATTCCTCGGTTTTATTTCTTGTCGTCGCAGGTTGATGTTTTGATTTGCTGTATAGTTTACCTTTATTCCATTCGAGCTTTAATCCTAAATTCTCGATCTGCCAGTCACCTTACAATCTGACTCTATAAATTAGTTACTTTCACCACTCGTAACTCTAACCAGATTATTAATACGTCTTCATACTTGTTATCTCATTGATAACTACGTTGTTATAAAAATCGAAAAAAAATTTAGAAAATTGATTGATTCTTGTTGGAATAAATATTTATTGGTTTTCACTTAATCTAAACTTGTGATGCTTTAATTATTTCAAAAGAACTTTTGATAATCCAAAGCTTGCTTTCATTTGGTAAAAAAAAGTTACGTAAGTAATGCACAATACATAATTAATGTTTAATTTTTATTTGTATTAATGTAGCAATGAATTTTGATTATTCTATACTCATAATCTTAATTAGACTTGTTTAAACAAAAGTCAGAACCTCATTTATAAAACTACCAATTTACAGCATAAATTCTCATATCGAAACTTTTAAGAAAATGGTTGTAACGTCGGCATCAGCTCATCCTCATCCTCATCCACCTCGAGTCCTTTCGACCTCAAATTTTCGTTATCTTGTGCAATGTCAATTTTGACCATTTCCGGGGTCATGAGTCCAACTCTGCGATCTTCGTAATATTTAATGAGCAGTTGTGGAATCTTTTCAGCACAAGCTTCAATCGGAACGATGTCCGCATCGTCACAATTTTTCCACTTGACGATAGCGAAGGTTGGCTTTGGGGGAAATTTTACCCCCATTTCTTCTTTGGATGGATCCTTATTGTCGTAGATGACGGTCACGATTCGTTCGGCGCGAAGGCCACGGTCGAAGCCACGCTTCTGCTTTTCCTAATAGCACAATATATAAAATAAGCAAATCTGAATAATTTTTTTATAATGTCAACTCTTACGCTCCAATTCTTTTCGAATTCTTCCATGAGCTCCTCACATTCCAAGTTTTCTTCGGGCTCCCATGTATCAAATTCGCTAAATTTACAAGATTAAACGCACTTATTACCAACATAAATTCATTAAAAAATAAAATTAGATCTTACGAGCTGTATCCCTGCCACTTCAGATAATATTGTGTCTTTCCATCAATGATGCGCTTATCGAGAATCTTCTCCACAATGTAAATCTCCTCTCCGTCCTCATCCACTGGGGGCGATATTTCCTCCACGACTTGAGAATCGCTCATTTCAACACCATCGTCGCCAAACGCCATATCTGCTGCCACGTCGTCGTCGTCCTCGTCGTAGTGTTGGAGAGATTGCTTACGGCGACCACCACCACGGGGCATACCTAATTTATATAAACAGAATAATGAATCAATGAAGAACGGAGTAATTAATTTGATAATTATCTTGTCTGTCGCTTTAATGCCAATTTGATTAGCAAATCAAGCGTTAAATTAAAGCTTGACTTATTAATTGAAATTTAGCACGAGAATGTGCAAAATCAAATTGATTTATCAAAACAATGAACAAATAAATATAGACAAATAAATCAAATTGATTGGGTTTGGTTACAAATTATTGGAACTCCTCTTGCAGCCGGATGCGAATTGGAGGAGATATTTATTTTGTATTTAAGTTTCAAAATAGTTCGAACTTCGAAGGTTTCACTCGTTAACAAAACAAATAATTTGCTAAAAAATATTTATATATCTTGGCCTTGGCCCAAGATTCTTGGGAAATAAATTCTATTTATTTGCTGGGTAAGTTTGCGAACTATTATTTAGCGTAAAAGATAATCCACACTACTATGTAGTGATAGTATAAGCATTACTTACTTTTGTGCTATTCACTGTATCAATTTACTTAACAATAGTTATTTAATAATTAAAGTTTAATTATTTACTTTGTTGTTTTCGATGAAAACTGCGTGTACTTTCTACTTGTCAGACGCCGTAAACTGTATTTGCGCGACTGTCTCATTTTCTAACAACCTTTCAAATGATGAACAAATGCAGCTTCGTTCGTGATTATGCAAATTGGAAATCATGCAAATTTTGTCATTTTATCCGTTAAATAATTCATTTTATTTCAATCACTCCACTTACTACTAATTATTTAATTTATCCACTAATAAATCCACTTTTCCTCATTCAGTCGTCTTGAATTGCAACATTACAATGAGATACATCACGATAGCTCCTACCGCCTGTACAAAGGAATTGACAAGCTGTTATCAATGAATTGCTAAGTTATTATTATGTATTAGTCAAGACCTCGGTGGAAAGGGTTCTCCTAATTCGAAAGTAATTCGCTGCAGAAACACCTCGAACTTCGTCATCGAGCAGCGTTGTGACGAAAAATGTGCCCTGTTCATATGTATTAATTTACGATTAGTGACAAAAAATACAAGATTAATTCAATCAAGATAAGGCTATTAAATAACATCTTATCATAAAGTAAATATTTACTTCGACGTTATTCCCACCAATCCCATTTCTAGCGACCCATGCCTTCAACGATTGCAGACATCTTTGTTGCTTTATGGAATAAGGTTTTTTTGAAAATTTAGATTAAATTTGCATTAATTAACTTAATAGAGTGGATTGTTTACCTCCCTCCCCACCGTCTCCCCGGTCTCGCACAGTACCACAAACCAAACAACGTTGATAATCACAGTGATACTGGTTATTCAAGATAGCATTATTACGAGAGGATAAGATGTTATCATAATTAATTTGAATATTTTCACATATATGTACCTCGTCGTCTCCCATGTCACCGTTCCCTTTTCGAACCCGGTCAGCACGGCAAAACTGTTTGTGAGTATGGCTGTAAAGAAAGCGGTCATCTCGATGATTAAGTATCGTCCAAATATATCGCCGAGCCGATTTAGCTCGGAATTTAATCGAGCAAAGAGGTCGAGGAGGAGGGGCAGCTTGCTCAGGTCGGAGACAAATTGGATCCCCACCTTATCTGGCTGAGAGGCCAATTTCTCCTTGTGGATGGAGCGATACGCGGCTGGGAAATTTTAAGCATGGCACAATTAGTAAATTGACACAAATAATAACGAATGTTTCTTTATATTTTCTTGTATTCATTCATTATTATTTGTTACGTAAGAAATGACTTTGCATTTCCACAATTTTCTAAAATTTTCCAAAATTTTCAAAGTACGTTTGAAAATTTGACAAGATTTAGCAGAAATGACAAATTGCGATGTATCATTTGTGCAAACTTAGTATATGAAGTATACATATTTATCATAGTTGTACACTTCGTATCCGTGCAGCATGTACATAGATTTTATAAATTTTGCAAAATAAGCATGCAACTCATCGAAAAGTATCATATCATAAATTCATACCCCGGATAACACTGGCCAACCCCATAAACAGAAAGCTTGGGATGACATGGGTTGCAATTAAGATTGCGAGCCACCAAGCGCCCCCAACGACCCCATAATACTCCCATTCATCACGATCGCTAAACTTTTCCTTGAAATAGCCACGAAATGATTTCCACCACAAATACAAGGAACAAACCACAATAATGAACCACGACGCGGCTCCCAGCCGTGCTGATCTGTAGATCCTCCGAAAGTTTAGCGATGCAGTGACCCCACCTCGATCTACCAGCGAGGTCACGATCACATTAAGCCGATTGTACAGCGAGGTCGTTCTTCGTGCCAAGCGGGGAATTCCTAACAAGGTCATGACCGTGGCGATAAATTGGCCTGAGACGAAGAGATATTTTGCTATGATGTGAATCGACTGGACGGTTTGGCGTCGGTCCCCAAGAGCGTTTTCCGATTTCATCAATTGCAGATAGAGGGCTACAAGTAATTGCAAATTTTGAAAACTGGGCAAAATTTTGATACCAAATTTTAGCCAAAATTCACACTCAATTATTTCAGACTATTTTAGAATCAACTTTTTACACGTTTGTCACTTTCATCAATTGGAGATAGAGTGCTACAAGTAATTTAATATGCAGTTATTTCAAGCTTTGCATATTTTGAAAACTGGGCAAAATTTTGATACCAAATATCCGGCAAAATTTACACTCAATTATTTTAGACTATTTTAAAATCTACTTTTTACACGTTTTTAATTTTCATCAATTGAAAATAGTGTGCGAGTGCTACTACAAGTAATGTAACATGGTTTAGCTTTGCATATTCTGAAAACTGAGCAAAATTTTGATTCCAAATTTCCGGCAAAATTCACACTCAATTAAATATGAATTATTTTAGACTACTAATTTGTATTTGAGAATCAACTTTTTTTTACAAAACGTACGAGAATAGTAGGCCGAAAGTCCGATGAAAACCATGCACCAGAAAATGTAGAGACCAAAGGCGAATTGTCCAAGGCGAAATGAGGCGACGCCATCCTCGTCAATGTGGATTGGGAAGTTTCCAATGTATTTGGCTAGGCGGAAAAGTGGGGCGAGCGTAGTTTTGAGGATGAGGTGTGGAGGTGTGGTATCCAACGTGTGGGGGGCAGGGGCGTCCTCCATGTTCGAGTTTTTGAGGGGGGACGACTTTTTGGCGAGGTAAATTTCCTTGTAGGTCTGACGGGGGGCTGATGAGGATGGGTTGTAGATGTAGGAAAAGGGTGTCTTTGTCATGATTGTGCGAATATGCAGATCTGTGACAATTGGGGAAATTGAGATTTTTGCGAGTTGTTGAGAGTAAGTTGATCAGTTTTGTCCTCTGGTCACTAAATAATTCTGAATGAAAACTGGAACATTAACCTAAGCTATATCTTTGTCCACTTTCTGAAGCAGAACATGCTCTGATGTCACCATTTTCATCCGAAATCGGGAAAGATGAATGAAAAAATGGTTGTCAAACATGGCAAACGACACCGAATTAGCAGATGGTCCACGAGTTATCATGTCACATGATTCATGTGGTATGATTTTAATGCTTTTCGCCATATGCTGTAATACAAATACACATGCGACGCAGTACACAGTAGAGAATTTTTATGACGGCAATATCAATATATGGGACACTCCCCCATTGTCCACGCTGTTAATTCAGGAGGTCATAACACGTTATTAAATAATTGTCGATAATTCGATACTTATGTACATTGTTCTTAGATTAAAGAAAAAACGCTGATTTAGCAAATAATTTGAGATGCTTTTCCAATTTGCATAGTACGAAATGAGATATGACACGCCACTCTACATGCCTAGGGAGGGACACTAACGTTACCTGGATACTTAAAGTCTAGCCATCGTGGCTCTATTGGTTACGAGAGAATGGAACATTGAACTATGAATTCGTAATTAATATCTCAAACTACCCGTAAAAAAATAGTTAATTAGATCCCCTCAAAATTTCACAATGTCAAATTTAAAAACCGTATCGGACGACCAAGATTTCGAAGGGCGTCTTTCCTCCGCCGGGAATGACTTGGTCGTCGTAGACTTTTTTACCACGTGGTGCGGCCCTTGCAAAAAGATGGAGGGGACGATCGTCTCTCTCGCCATGAAATACCCGTCCGTCCTATTTCTCAAGGTGGACGCGGATCAATGTTTCGAAACTGCGATGCGACACAACCTCAAAGGCGTTCCACTCTTTGTGCTGTATCGAAATATGGAAATTTTAGACCAACTCCAGGTCAGATAAGGGATTATCCATCAGAAATATCACTGCTAAATGATTACTCCTCCTGTAAATCATTTCCCAGGGCGCCCAACCCCAACTGCTCGACGATAAGATCCTTTTCGCCGAAGCAGAGCATCGCCATCGTGGTTTTGCTCGGAGTACGGACGAAAACTTTCTGGCTAAACAGATGGCTTCCTTACCAGACGTCGGACCCGTGTCGGAAGTGACCTCCTTCCTGGAGACGACCGGGTGTCGTGTGATTAACGACTTGTCCCCATCCTCCTTCGACTCGTTCCTCTCGGGAAAGAAACTCATTTCAGGAAAAGGGTCGGGAAAATTACTGCTCGTTTACACCTTCAAGGAGAAATTGATCGTAATTTTTGTAAAACTTATGAAAAATTCTGGATAAAATTTGACATTTTTTTTTACATCTGCAGCTCCACTCGTTCATTATAAAAGCCAAGGCCGACAGTGGTCCTAAAGTTCTCCGTTTTTTCGCCAATCATCCCAAAATCCTGGACTTTCAGGTCGCTGGACAACTCGCACCGTCGCAGGAAGTGACGTAAGAGGTTTTGGAGGAATAAATGCCAATATTTGCATATGTGCAAAATTATATCAATACATTTTTTTCGCAGCCTCTGTCCAGACGACCTGACTGGCGAAAGAGCCATCGAACTCCGTGCCGGAGGTTTCAATTTGGTCACAAATCTGCAAATATTTATCGCCGATGTAATGTCGACAACATGGCGACCATCCGGCTACCATAAAGTGGAAGTCGACTCTTTAAAGATTTTCGGCGCCCCGTAATATTTAGATACCTATTTTCGTAGTTAACTATAGTTAGCTTATCGACAAATTTTTGCAATTTTTGATAAATTTGTACAAATCTGTGACGTAATTCATTGAAGAAAATCAGTAAAATTGAAATTACAGGGTCGTCTTGAAGGAAAGAGAGAGCGTCCAACTTCCAACTTTCTCTTCCGCAGCGTCACATCCAAATACTATCGGCGAAACTTCTGTCGCCGAACAAGGAGAAAACGTCGCCCAAGAAAACAACCACTCCTTCCCGCAAAATAATGACTGCGATCCTGCCAGTGGTGCGTGTTCCATCGAAATGCGAAAAAGTGGACCGTACGCCGAACCTCCACTAAATCCTAGAGAACATTTCATGTTTGGCAGTAGCGACACTACCACCACCACCACAAAAAATAATTATCACCACGACCCGTCCGCCATTACAAAAGCGATGCCTCCACTTCCGGTTCCAATTTCCACAAATTCCGGTCCCTTTTCTCAAAGTTCCAATTTGCAAGAAGTAATTACCGAAAACCTGAAAAATCTTAGGATATCGGAAACCCTTGTGGAAGAACCATCAGCTCAACAACCTTCCACAAAGAAGAATGCCCTACAAGATACTGTCGACAACATGATGACGGACGACATCCGGTCCTTCTTATCGGAACATAGGAGACTTCAAGGGCAAGAAGTCAAGTCAAAATCTCGTCAGGTTTCGAAAGCGTCCTCCGTCAAGAGCAACAACAATGCGAACAATGGGCATCTCCCGAACCACGAGTACATCCTCCTCCCCCACACGAAGGGTACCGTGTCCTCGATGAACAAGCAGGCTCATCCCAAGGCAAAGGCGTCGCATCAGGTAGAAAAATTTGGACCAAACAACCATCCCAGTGGGAAAATGGGAAAGGGCAAGCATGGCAAGAGTAAGGTGAATAACAAGTCCACGTGGTGAAAAAGAAGTGTCACGAATTATGTATGTAGATAAATGCATACGTACAAAATGCATGTGATCAAATTATTGTTTGTGAAGTCTAAAAAAATTTCAGTATTAATATTCTTGCTATCTCGGAATAAAAGTTAAATCTACATTCAATTTTTTAAAATTTAGTTTATGGCATTGATTTCCGACTAAAATTTCCACTATTTCCAAAAATCCACCCAACTAGAACCCGAACGTTACAATAACGTTAGATCAACAGTGTTGATGCACTACGTATGATGTCCGCCTAAAGCGTGTTAGTTTAATGTTACAAAGAGGGCGGAGCATAATGGTGTGAGCACTGTGCCCGGTCGTGGCTACAGCATGTTATCAACATTGGTGAAACTTGACTTGGCCGTGCATTGCAACAAAGTGTAACATTGGCTTATCGTTGTCACAATGTTTATGCTTGCACGGTGCGCAGTACAGGGTGGTTGCACGTTAAAATCATGTACAAAAATGTTATTTTTCTCATGAATTTATTTATTCATATCGTACCCAAAAACAAAATGAATAACAATATTATTTTCATGAACAAAATTAAAACTATCCATTAAATATTAAATATCTATTATATCTAACTTATTATACTAAGACATTAAATATTAAAACTTCTTTTACTCTTCGCATAACGGGACACAGAAAAAAGAGTTATCTGCACTAATAGGAAATAACATAACTTTACATCTTATTTCAGATTGAGTTATAGTTGTTGAACGGAAAGCTAAATTAAATACCTTTTGAATCATAAATTTGGAACCCTTACAAGGCTTAGTAAAATACTCTGATTGTCCTTTAAACTTTCTCACAACAAAATCATTTTCACTTTTCTTAACAACAATCACAACACAACCAGTTTTTAGAATACAACCACGATCGTTAATTTTTTTTGATATATGGAGATTGTTTTCGATCCTAAACGTTGTGTTTGAAACATTAGACTTTTCTAACTCTATCACCCGCCTAATAACTTGTGGAAGATGACGACTCTTACCCCTCAACATTTTCTTCAAAGACTGCATACTATTTTCAAAAGCAAAAGCGTTGACCTTTTCCAACGACCCAAACTTATCAGCATCGTCCGTTAAATGAATTAGCGAATGAACATTGTAAACCAAAAATTGATCATGATATAGCTTACCAATATTTTTTGTAAACTCAAACATTAAATGTCGGGCGTAATTATACCAATTACGATTATTTGAAAGCAAAATTCTTGTTGCAATACTTAAAGCCATAAAATGCTCATATTTTTCAGAACTAAGTAAACCCTTTAAAGCAAATGGGCCAAAATACAACAAGAAATTTCGGAGCTCTGTCGCCTTCCAAAACTCCAACTCCGAGAGTGGCCTTGGCTTCCTATTAAACTCCGAGCAAACAAATTTTCTAAGTTGAATCAGTCTATCTGAAATTTCATATATTGTATACTTCCCTTCCTTGTGCATGGGTCCTCTTTTCCAGCATTTCAATAGCTTTTTAACAACTCCCAAACAAATAAGGTGCATGTAATCAAGAACAACCCCAGAAACCATGCCAACGCCTAGCCCAATTAATGGGGAAATACCTACATGATGATTGGCGTCCTCCTGCCCAACAAATCCAATATCTGACCTTAAATCCGCTTGTAAATTTTTAAATACCACGCGACCTAACCATACGCCTTTATCAATGCAACGGTCACAACCATTATAACCATTAAATGCTGAAGTTTGCTTAATAAGATTTCTTGCCGGGGCATCTGCAACTATGCACTGTAGTCTAACTTGATAAAGAATACCATTAATTCTTATTCCTTCCTGTGACAGTTTCTTAAATTCTGTTACAAATGGTTGGAGAAACTCGCTGACATCCACAGGTTTGCTATTATCGCTGTAATATAAACCAATTAAAAATGGGACATTATTCGCTACGTTGATACATCGCCCTAGAATTGGCCAAAATTGTTTTTTGCTAGATTTACTAATTGGTAATCCATCAATTCCTAGGATTATCCAAAGCACTCCATCCCTTGGTATTGTAAACACCTTAGATAAGAATAACAATTTTTGTTTCAGCCCAAAATGATGATATGAACCACCCTGAATCTCGCTAATTTCATAATTTTTTGGAGTCCCCACTAAACCCTTAGCACATTTTGGTAAATTAGAACCTGTCACATGTGCAGATAAAATGCCCAAAAGATCATCAATGGCAGTTGACGTAATATTATGCTGTACTGCCCAATTAGCTAACCTGTCTTTTAAGTCAACTTCTAATTCGTCACCCTCAACTAGATTAGAATTTAAAATTAATGGGACCTCATTTAATTTAGAATTTGGTTGTAAAAATATCTGACAGTTTGACCCTACTTCATCTTCTTCCAACATTAAAGCAGGCTGCTCTATTTCTTCGGAAACATTAGATTGAGCTAACACCTTATCGTGAATTTCCTGTTGTATTTTCATAACATTTGATTGAATTATCCGTCTTCTATTTCTACTCGCTGACATAATTCCTACTATAAATTTATAATCTTCATAGACAATATTATAAAATGCCACACAATAGTTATTTACGACTGAAACGAAGTTTGTCCATAATGATTTGCTTGATCTGAATTTCTGTGATTCCTCCTAATGAATTTACAAGTTTTCTGTTTCGTCTAGTTGCCGCTGCAAAATAAAAATGTTACTAATTAGTAGGGTAACTCAAAAGCATATATATTTTTACATGTAGGGTTTATACTCACCGATTAAAGCGTCATTAATTTTGATAAACGAAGAGTATGAGATTTTGTTCAGCCCCTTTCCAGTGTAGCTCAGTTGAATTCTCACTTCTTTACTGAAAACACGTTTTAAGATTTCTGTCACTGTTTCCTTGAGGTCATTTCCTCCAATTCCAATCAAATATTCTACCTGTTAAATTAACGATGAAATATAAAATGATCCACCATTAATTAAATTACACTTGATTTGAACTAAATTGAACTATTAAGCAATTACAAATAAATTGTATTCATCCACAAGTTGAAGTCGTGTCTCAAAGGCGCCAAGTTCTCCCTCGTTATTTAATGGAAATCGAGGAAGAGTAGAGAAATCCAGCACAGGCCTAGCAATTGGCGACACTCCTGACTCTTGATTCCTTTTAATCTCTGTTAGAAGCCCCCGAATATCTTTCTGTTCCTTCTCAATTGCTGCAAGATGATTGATAACAACCTGCTGAAATCCTGAAATTACAAATAAACTAGTTTACACCAAGTAATAAAACAATAGGTTAATTGTTTCAAAAATCGATTATAGTTATACAATTTTACCCAAAGTTAAGTCTCCACTGCTGGTTGTATATGGCCCTGGCACAGGGATAGAAACTGTTGCTGGGTGTGAAAGGGCCGTATTTTGAGAATTTAAATTAAATGAACCATCCAAATTCAAAAGAATGGTTTGAGAGGACTGCTGAAATTGTTGATGATCCCCCGCGACTTGATAAGCTGGAGCCACGGTTATTGAAGGAGCGACCGAAACACTTGGCGGTACTAAATAACAATTCATCAGGTTTTAGCGATAATATACTTTTAATATATCATTGAACAGCAAAAAAATTACCAAGAAAATTTCCATCCGGCTCAACAATGCTTTCTGGGCTAAAGTCGGCATCATCTTCGGCTGAGACCACAACACTAGGATTCAAAATGACCGGTATTTCCTCCTCCTCATCTGATCCGGCTGACGAATTTGATTTTGGGGATGGCCGAGAAGCAATTCTTTTTCTGGTCCTATGCTGTTGCTGATCTGATTTAGTTTCGATATCTGACATAGCTTCAGCTAATTTCAATCCATCAGTGGCCTCCTCATATGTAGCTATATAAAATAAGTTACCAAAATTATTATTAATTAAATCAATTGAATAAATAACATTGAAAACTACCAAATCGTCCTAAAACTCGACAATCGTAATCATCCCAATCCGAGCCAGGCCTTAATGCTTTGTCCTTTTTCTTATTACTAAAAGCCGGAGTGACCTTCTTTGGCCATTTACACTTTGTTTCGTTATCGAACAGAAGAGATGACGGGATTGCCTCAACAGAGTTTTCATTCGGGAACAGCACGACAACAAATGGGCTTTTCACTTGGTGCTTAGGTCCCATTTAACTTAATTTAAATTAATTTGTAATTATTTAACTAAATCTTGAACGATTAGAAAAATTGAGAGTGTGGATTAACTTCACTAAATGTGTGGAACGGAATGCGTGGTTAAAATGGCGGAACGTGTTCTGAAGTGTGATTTTAATCATCACAGCAGCTGTAATTCACGTTGAATAAGAGTAAAATCAGCGCTGCGGATTCACAGTGAAAACGCGTTGAGACACTATCTCAACGCGTTTCAGCAACGTGAAAATGATGCGCTGATGCACTGTTGATAAACCTGGCTTGCGTAACATAGTGTCAATGTTGATTTCGTTTTTTTCTGCTCTTTAATGTAACAGTGCACAAATCGCACCTTAAAACGGTTGTGTCAACGTTATTTTAACATCGGGTTCTGGCTGGGGCACTTTCTATTCTTTATGTTTTCTTTGCTGTTTCGGAAACCGGAAATTTCAACACCAAATAAGACGCTCTTTATAGAATTTATTCTAAAACTTGAAATTTAGTTACATTTCTTGTACATACATGTTTAGAAAAATATGCATATTCATAACGAGTTAATTGCAATTTACGTATAATACTTGCAGATCCATGATCCAGGTCTTCCCTGATTTAATATAATTTTACTCAAATGTAATTGTCAGTATCAATCAATCAGAAAATGAAATTATTATAAGATTCATATGAAATTCAATAATTCATTCGATATCCTTCATTATTCATTAAATATTCATATTACATAATAAATACATATCTCCAGCTCTGCAACAACCCCCCTTGTCCCTCGACTTTCTCTAAAACCCATCCTACCCCTCTCGTTCGCCCATATATTGATTCAAATCACATGACAAATCCACACAACCGAATAATATCTTTCATTTCATTCCTTCTTTTTGGAAACCTAGCACACACAAGTGAACTGAATACTAAACGGGCCAACTAATCCAATTTCTCTGCCCCGAATCATCATCATCAAACATTCTATTCTTCCCCAATCAATGGATGTGAACCAACAACCAACAAAGTTCTGTACTCTACAGTGGCCGCGGAAGCCGTGGGGACATTTGGGGACATTAACATTGTAGGATAGGGGAAGGAGGGGTTTACATAACATGGGGAGATGATGGGGACATCGAACGACCGTGGGGACAATGTCCCTCTGTCCCCGCGGCCACTGAAACTCTGTCAACTTTTGCTTCCTAACTTACTTCTTCCTCTTCACGGTTCGGGAATAAAACTGTGAATCTCGAAATGATATACGCCAACCAACTGCTGTTTCCCTTCAAAGTAAATATTTAGTAGTGGAAGAAATCTGCATTTTTATTAGTTGTCTAAATCTTAATTGTTTGCCTGGTTGGTAAGTATCGTTACATGCTCTGTGTTGTATGATTTCCGTAATTTGTATCGTATTCTTTCCCGTTATGTTTACACGCACATTATTCCTAGGGGAGCCGTTAGAACGACGAATTAAGTGCTGGAGAAAGGAAGAAGGGTTCATTTAGTCTAGTTTTGTAACAATCTCTGGTCCATGTGTTAAGTTTTACACGGTCTCCTGTTTGTGTGGCGAGGAGTTCAGTGGGCACTATTTACAAGCACTAATTACATTACGAGTTATTGTGTACTTTCTCTCATGTCACCATGAAAGACGAAAATTCGTCCAGCCGCAAAATATCGGTACAATTATAAATATGTATACCCAAAAAGCAAAATTTAATGTCTGGTCCAAATTTCTGTGATGATAAAGACATTTTTCTCCTTGTGGTCTGGTGTGAAAGGTCACCCTGCATGGTCGGCCACCCTTGGAGAGATGAACAAATTTCGAAATGCAGGACATTTTCATAGCTACAACAATGACGTTGGTTGGGGTCTCATGTTAAAAATCAGTATTGTAAAACTTGGGCGGCTTCACACATTCGGAGATACGAAGATGACTTGCAATTCGTTCATATTTCGAATGAAATGGTGACAATTGGAAAATATTCCGACATGAATAGAGTTGTTTTTAACCAGTGGTAAATACAATGTGATCAAATATTTTCAAAGACTTGCTTAAAAATTTCCGATAGTCGATACGAATAATCCAAAATATTTCCGACTAAATTTTTTATCATAACGTAACATATGTTCTATGAGATAAATAAATAATGCTTTGTTCACATATGTCATGCAAACCTATAATCCTATTTCGCCTACAAAACAAAGGACGCCACACATTTTACAACCGCCTACACCCCAAACTTTACCTTATTCTTCATTAATTGCTCTCCTTCTTCTTGATTGCGATGAATTGTCCTATTAAAAGTCATCCCGTACCCTTAAGGGCACTCTTCCCACCCATCCCACCACCACCAACCACCCGGCAGACGCTCGGCGATAAATAATAAATAAAATATTATCCGTTCGTACGTACCTACGCTTTCTCATTATCAAGTCATATCCTTCTTAATGAAGTGAAATAATAATAATACGTATGTAATGTAAGTGACCCTGTCCAGAGGAGGTGCATGCATTTATTGCCCAAAGAGACGATCGACTGACTGACCAACTGAGGAGGGATGAGTTCATTAGCAAATATCCGTCCAAGATCCATACATTACAGCTGCATGCAACCCTTTATTAGGCGACGACTATAATCCTATCTGTCCAAATATCTACTCTGTCGATGTGCAAATTAGAGGTGATGGTGGTGGCCGTGGTGCGGGTGTGACTCTGAGCAAACAAAGGGTTGAAGAACAATCCTGTTTTCCATTTTGGATAGAAACATGTCATTACATGGGTATCAGTAAAACTGTATATTTTCATTTTACTCGACCTCAAGCATTATCACGTTGTGAGATCATCCGTCAACTCTTTTCGTCTCAAATTCCCCTCTACAAAAATTCGATACTAATGACGCACATGTCGGATTTTTCCTCTACTCTGCAAGCCAATTACGTAAATTGTATCAACCTATATATGTATTTGTATTAATAAAAATATTCAATCATGAAAAAAATATCATACAAAATGGATGAAATTTTATACCAAACGGAGAAGACCTTGCCCTGTCATTTCACATCCAGTCCAATCCACCCCCATTATTTATCCACCCACTAAAAATTCTGGTTTCATTTCATATATTTTATCACATTTTATCATTATTTAGCCCAACATGGTAGATACATATAAGTAAAAGAGACGGAATAAACCCCTCCTCTCTTTCATTTTTGACTAATGAAGAGCAATTATGCCTCATCAGAACCAATTCGCTAATTGTAATTACACGTTTCACTTCTCTACCAAATAAAATATGTAGCAGCCAACAGCCTCGTGTAAGGGGACGACCGACCAATTGTGTACAGTTTCTTCCTCTGCTTTCTGCCTACCCTGCAATTATCATCAACAAACACAAAGTTTTGTCTTGGATGTAATGATGGGAGCAGTTTCAGAAGAGTATCAGTTTTTTTTCTCTCCTTTGAGAGGAATAAGTATCTACATTTTATTTATTTTTGGTCTTTTTTCTCCTTTGATGAAGTGGTGCCACCGGGTTTCCACCCGAGTTAATGGGACTCGGTATACACACAATCAAAGAAAAAGGGTTGGTTGTTGATATGATTACACAAAATTATGGTTCGAATTTTGGTCGCAGTTTTGTTTGTTGGCTTCTTATTTACATACTTTGTCATTTGTGGTTTTGCTGGATTGGAGGGATTATTAGTATAAATAAATGTGGTAGGGTTTTTATTATGGGTGGATTTTGAATTAGGGAATAATTTGGCTTGGATTAAAATGTCGTATCAAATCCATTATCAAGGCATGGAGGATTTGGAGGCATGCATTTTCTAAGGAGGATTATGTTTTACTTGTTCTTTTTTAATAAAATCTATACACACTAAATACGTAACACGGAAATTTATTTTCACCAATGGCATCATAATGTAACAAATTTTCAATATTATTCGAATTTTAAAAAGAAAGTAGACACAATTCCCTCGTTTACTTAAATGTAAATGTAAATAACTTTTTTTCTTTGAAATGATTTTTGTCGTATTTAACTGAAACATGAGGCAAAATAATAAAAGTTTGACAACTAATATATATTGACCAGTGAGATGTAATAAATTTTGGAAAATTTTGTGGAAACTAAACCTGTCAAAAACGCGTTATATAAATTGGTCAATCGGAAACCTTCGACCACCAACAACATAAGTTGCATTATTTTTATTTCGCTGACATTTAAACCCTTCTAGCCCAAATTAAGAATGCTTAAAATTTCAATTCTGCACAATTCAGGTAGAGTGGCGATTTATTGTAGTGCATTACATAAGGCCAACTCATCTCAACT